ACACATTCCATTAAATATTCTTGTGAAATTGGTTCTCTACAAGAAACTGATTGTTCCAAAATGCCGGGAAGTACAATTTGACGATATAGACACAATTCAAGATTTTGTAGTTGTGATAGACGAACTAAATTAGTTCCAACAAGAATACGCAATTCACGACGCTCACGTTCACGTTTTTCACTTTCACGGCTAGGGCCCTAAAAAATTTTTTATGAAAAGAATGTAAAAATTAAAAATGAATTTAAGGTAGGGGGTGCCTTTGGATGGAAAAGCTGTGGTTTAAAGTTTCGAGAGCAACACCATTTAAAAGACACATAGAGAAAGGATGGCGCGGGTTGAGAAAAAAGGCGAGCCGGGTTTCGGGCCGGTTTTCAAAAATTTATTTGTTTCGGTTCGAAAAAAGTCCACATTTCGTGTATCATAATACTCCCATCGTTGATGCAAAGAATAAAAAATATCTAAAAATAAAAAAAGAAAAAACCTGATGTTGCATTCGAACCCAAAGTTTGTTCATTTCAGCAAAATTAACCATAATAAAATCTATTGCATCACGAACATCACCACAAGTAGTCGTTTCATCCTCCACATCTTCCAATTTATTTTCTTCTTCTTCATCACCAAAATCTTCATTTATTGAATTTCTATTTTTATTTTGTAAAAGAGAAAGGGTAGGTGGAGGTTTGTCGGGTATAAATTCTTTTGTTGAAGTCAATAAATAATTACGAAGAAATAGTCCTCTCAAAGGGTGTTGAACTCCTCTACACATTTCCACCAAATCATGAAGAATGTCTGTGGAAGGAGACTCGCCTGATTTTATGTAGACAACGCCAACAGTTATTAAAAGATATCTAAAGACAAAAATTAAAAAATAATTAAAAAACCCCCTACAATCTTGGAACAATATTTCCTGTATATTGCACAGTCTCGTATAATTCTGCAACAGAAAATTTTTGTTCTTCACCCAAATATCGATCCGTTAAAAATGTTAAAAAGTGCTGGAGTTCGTTGGTAACGTCAATATCTGTATAACATGATTTTTTAAAGGTTTTAATATTTTTTGATTGATAGAGGGATGGGACGCGTTGAAAAGAACATCGCCACAAGTAGTCGTTTCATCCTTCACATCTTACTTTTTAATTTTTCTTTGGATCAGGTTTCGATTCCGACTTACAATTAGGGTCGAAAATGTCACAGTTAATGATTTCAAGTAATACGTTTTATCAGGCCCGTAGCCAGAATTTTTTTCGGGGGAGGGATGGGGCAAGAGCTACGGCATGCGCCTCATCCGTAATTCCCAGTCGATCTTCCCAAAATTCAAAAATTAAAAAAAATTTCTTACAAAGTCTATAGTAGAATTTCGGCATTAAAATTGAAGTTCTCAATTCACAAATCATCTGCACAGCATGTTTGAGTGCATCCATTAGTTCATTTTGATCCAAAGACCTTTTCATTTCAAAAGATTCATTTTTGACTATTTTCAATGCAGAATCTAGAAGACTTTCTTGTTTTTCAACATCAATTAAAAAGTCAGAGGATCCCGTTAAGGATTTCATTTTTCAAAAACTAAAAGAATAAAATGAGAGAAAATAAAGAAGAAAAATATTTAAAAAATAATTCTGAATTAAAATCAAAATTAAAAAAGACTGAAATCAAAAAAAAATTTAAATAACATTTTTACACAATTAATAAAATTGAGAAAAGAAAATATTTTAAAATATTTTTGAAAATTTTTTGTTCAGCTAATTTCTTCAGTTTCTTCTTCCTCATTTTTAATAAAATCATTTGAAATATTATCCTCATCAATTTTTTCATCAATTAATTCTTCCCCTTTTTCTTCAATATCTTCATTTTTATTAAACTTTTGACCATCCTCGTTTTCCTCTTTCTCATCATCCAAATTTCTTAAAATGTAAAAAATGAGTCTAAAATATAGCTCAAACCCAACCCGGTAGGAAACCCGGTATTTTGATAAGATCAGGTTTTCCTGTGGTTTTCGCTGTTTTAGCCCAGAAACCGGAGAAAACCGAAAACCTCCGGCAATGCGAAAAGTTCCAGTCAAAAATCAAAAAATAATTTTTACTGTTGTTGATGCTGCTTTTTTGCCTTTGATGGACATATTCGTCGATGCTTTATGCAATGATGATGACGCAAATGGTGATGACATTTTTGTCGATGACGACGCTTACTTGAAGGAATTTCAATTTCAGAAGATTTGATTGCAACAGGGGTAGTAGTGGACGTATCAATTAAAGTATTTTCATGTTCACGGCTTCTAAAAATAATTTTTTTATAAAAAATCAAACAAAAATTTAAATATACTTATTTCGTTCACGACTTCGAGATCGACGTTTCTGTTTACTTTCTCTACGTTCACGGCTTGTACGATGTCTGTCACGGCTTCGATCACGACTGCTTCGATGACGATCACGACTACGTTCACGGCTAGCATGTTGGCGTTCACGACTGCGGTCTCGACTACGATGACGGGAACGCTTTTCAGAGTCTAAATAACAATATAGTTCCTCATTAAACAAAAAATCTTTTAAAAAATACCAGCTCCAGAATCAACATCACGGCCACGCGGACTGCGTTCCCTACTTCTTGAACGTCTACGATCACTATAACGATCATCCTCGTATCCATAAAGTTTGGCACGTTCACGAAATTTTGTCTCCATCTCTTTCTGGATTGGGATAGGAATTCGAGGAAATAGTGTTCCATAGAAGTCGAGCTGGAAAATTCTCTTTAATAAAATTTATAAAATTAAAAAAACCTTAGTTAACATCATCCTAATTAATTGCCCAAACTGCATTTTGTCACCGCCTCCAGAACGGGGATCAATTTCAGTTTCATCATCCAGATAAGGCTCCATCCACGCCCAAAGATCGCCAGGCGGTTGTGTATATCGAATAAACATGAAAGCAAGTCCTCGTAAATAAACTGATTGTCTACTATTCATCATTGCAACCAATTGTTTCCGAGTCACACGAACAGTGAAAAGTTTATAGAGCAGACAAAAAGCTGTGGAGATAACACCGCCAGCACCGACTCCACGGACGCTGTAAGGGAAAAAAGTTAACGATTTGACTCCAATTTAAGAAAAATAGAAAAAGAGACCCCCCACAAACCCCTTGATAACTGACATACCACAATGACTTACCCGCCACACATGCCAGTCATTCCAGTAATTTTACGAGTTCCACGCTCCCATGGTTCAAGATGCCTTACCTTCAAAAATAATTAAAATTCCATAAATTTTACTTAAAATTTAAAGACATACATGAATAAAAACTTCATCACAAACTTGTTGATAAGTGCTGACTTCAAGAAGAAAATTCTTCCAATAAGTACTTTGGACTATATTTTCTAGCACAAGAGTATTTAAGTTCATTGTTTGTACGTTGCCCCATATTGGTAAAATATTGTTTTTTCTTGTAATTTTCTTTAAAAAAGAGAAAAAAATTTCTAAAAAATCGTTAAAAATTATATAAACCTGAATATCAGGAATTGAAGTATCCGCAGCATCGTCTTCATAAAATACATCATTACTGGCTATATTGAAACCCATAACATCTTTAAATGTTGTAGCATCGTTAAAATCCATTTTTCTTAAAGAATCTAAAATTTTATTGAAATTAAAAAATTGTAACCTCAGGCCAATAAAGAATTTCACAAAAACTTTGTATAATTCAATGACTCACTCTCCTGTAAAAACTCAATCTCTAGCCAATTCTAAAAAATATATCAAAATGTTAACCAGCTAAAAATAGTTCAAATGACCAAATGAGTCATTTAAAACTAGAGATCGGCAATGGAGGGATCCTGTACGGGATTTTACTGGATCCTGTCCCGAAATCACGAGTTTTAAGCGAAAACGGGACTACCGGGATTATCCGCGCGGGATACCGAAACTTTCGACATTTTGAAAAGAATCTCGGTAATCCTGCAGAATCTGGGAGACACCTTAAAAACACCTTAAAAATTATTATTTTTTTCTGAGAATAATTTTGTATAGGTAATCGACCATGCTGATCACGAATCTGAGCTTAGAATTTGTTTATTTCGAACCCCGGACTCGATTTCGACCAAGTCGAAATTCGGGGTAAAAATTCGATATTAAGAATTTAGGGCTAATCTGATTCGCGTTTTCGAACTGAGTCGAATGCCACCGAAATTACCGCGATCCGACTCCATAGGGTCGAGTTACAGACCCCCGAAATTTGAAAATTTTCGAGGTCAAAAAATCGAAAATCCAAATAATAGCTCATTCGAGAGAACTCGACGAGTTGAGTTGAATGATACCAGAATCAACTCGATTGAATGATTCTGAACAAAGTTATGACCAACGGAATCTTCGGTGGAAAACCTGTGGGAATATACTAAAGTGCCCCCAAATCAAGTATATGATAAAAAATCATAGATAAAATGTCACATTTGACACAATCTGATATCAGATTCGTGATCAGCATGGTCGATTACCTATATAAAATTATTTTCAGAAGAAAATAATAATTTTTAAGGTGTTTTTAAGGTGTCTCCCAGATTCTGCAGGATTACCAGAATCTCGAAAAAATCCAGGGAATGCAATTTTGCCGATCTCTAAGTCGAACCCGTCAAAAACCCATCAAAAAATAAAATAAATGCTTGTTTATATACAATTACGATTAAATAAAAATTAATTATGTATATTTTATTAATTTATTTATAAGGAGTAATCCAAAAAAAGCAAAAAATATTATGCAGAAAATATGAGCGTTTTTTTAAAGAAAAAGGAAAGAATACAATAAAATTGCTTTCGTAAATACTTTTTTAAGTTTATTTAATTTATATTTTTTAAAATTTTTCTCTAAAGAGCAGAACATCCCTTTCGCTTTTTACTCTTTTGTTGAAGAGCTGCACGTGTAGCAGTTTCAAAAACTTCTTGAACTCCCTTACAAATAATTAAAAATTAGAGTATTATTGTCGTTTGTGTTCCCGGTAATATCGAACCGGACAGACTCCCTTTTTTTCCTCCCCAATTTTCCCATATATTCTTGCAAAATGGTCAGACTTCTCTTTCCTTCCGTGCTCCTTTTACTTGTTTTTGGCATGTACTTACGCTTGTATAAATTAAATAATCCTTTTTGTCTGATTGTGGGCAAAAATTAGAAAGCCTTTTTGGATGGAAGGAAATTATCTGACCATTTTGCAAAAGAAAAAAGAGGGTCTGTCCGGTTCAATATTACCGTGTTCCCCTTTCTATTTCCTTTTCTTCCCAAAATTTCCTAAGAGTGTAGGATTCTAAAAATTCCAAGAATTCGTTCTATAGAACCAGATGAAAAATAAAAATTTTCCAATTACAAAGTTGGAAAATTCTGTAACACTAGCTTACTTACAATTTGTTCCAGAAATTAATTTTATGAAAAAAATAAAATTTATATACCTCCTTATATTTAGCCGAACATTCCAAATATGCATACCTAGAAAAATTTTAATTTTGAAAATTTTGGAGATTTTTTAAATTTTTCATAATTCAGGCAATATTAAAAAATTTAAAAAAAAATAATTAAAAAATTATTACGCTCCAATTTGCTGAGCAACAGCTTGCGCTGCTTCACTAGTCACAGGCTCCTGCTTGCTTTTAGCCAATTCTTTCAAAGTCTGCGGATCGTTTCGAAGATCCTTCAAAAATTATTTTTAAATAAAATTAAAAAAAACCTTCTTATTTCCAACAAGAATAATTGGGACGTTCGGACAGAAATGACGAACCTGAAAAAAATTTTAAATTAAATTCAATTTTAACTTTAGAATTTTGTATACCTCCGGAGTCCACTTCTCAATAATATTCTCAAGAGAATCCGGCGAATCGATGCTAAAATTAAAATTATTTGATTAAAAAATTTTTTGAGAATGGCCTGGATACAGAGTAAAAATCAAGTCATTTTTCAGTGTTCCCCGATTTTTCCTTGAGTCAAAGTCGAGAAGAATGGATCTAGGAAAAATCAAAGCCTGTATCCAGATCAGACCTGGGCGAAACTCAAAATTTTTTTCTGACGAAACGAAACGAAACAAATTTAAAAGTGTTTCGTAACGAAACGAGACGAAACAGTAAAAATCATACGAAACATACGAAACAACGAAACGAAACGAAACGTTTCGCCCACGTCTGATCCAGATCCAGGCCGATCTCTAAAAAATTTAATTTAGAACCTAAAGCACATGAGGATGACATTGGTATCCGGATAACTCAAAGGACGAAGACGGTCATAATCCTCCTGTCCAGCAGTATCCCACAAAGCAAGTTCAACCTTCAAAAAAATTTTTTTGAAACAATCAAAAAAATTAATTTTTTTGACCTGCCGTTGATCAACCTCAATATCAGCCACATAATTCTCAAAAACAGTAGGAACATAAACTTCAGGAAAATCATCCTTGCTAAATACCTATTTAAAAATTATTTTTTTTTCTTCTTAAGGAAAAACAAACAATTAAAAGGCACGTCTTTCCGCAAGCACCGTCGCCGACAATTACCAGCTTTCGACGAATTGTAGCCATTTTTTGTTGTCAAATAAAAAAAAATTTAAGATTAAAGGTCTGTCGTTATCGGAAAAAAATAATCAAAATAATTTATCAACACTTAAACATGTGTTAAAACAAGATGACTAACACAAAAAGATTAAAATAGAAATTCCTTTGGCGTTTAGTTTGTAGATATTTTGTAATCCTGCCTTGAAAGTTAGACACAAAAAATACATGATAGTTAGAGAAAAATAAATAAGAAAAAGTGTTGAAAATTGTCTAACTATCTAAAATACATTTCTTTCAAAAAATTACATAACACCTAAAATACAGTTAGGTAAGTTCTGTAATTTTCATCTTTTTTGTCAGGAGTTTTTTACCTTGAATTTTTATTTTTTTTCTTCTAACAAATTTATTTTTTAGTTTTTTTTCTTTAAATGTTTCGTCCAATTAGCACATCTTCAATCAACAAATTTTTAAAATTTATACTTTCAAATTCCACATTTATTAGACAAATTTCTTCATTTTCTTCTGGCCCATTTCGTATTGTGGAAGTTGGGCCTAGAGATGGGTTGCAAAACGAAAAAAGGGTTTATTTTACTTAATTAACTTAAATTTTTGTTTTTTAGCAGATGGTACTAACAAGCACAAAAATTGAATTGATTAATCGACTAGTTGAATGTGGACTTAAAACTGTTGAGGCAACAAGCTTTGTTTCACCAAAATGGGTTCCACAGGTTAATTTTTTGGGTGGGGGCTAACTCGAGAAATTTCAAATCGCGGAACAGACAGGTCACGGAATGACCAAAACATGGAATATTTTAAAAATCGGAATTGGTGATTCCACTTGTCCGTTCCGTGTGCTGGCCCGACTCGAATTTTCTTCGTTTATTTATTTAAAAAATTACTTTTTTAGTTTGAGGATTGTAATGAAGTTATTAGTGCTTGTAAAAAGATTCGAGGTGTTTCATATCCTGTATTAGTTCCAAATTTGGAAGGCCTTTCAAATGCTGTTAGTTTATAATTTAAAATTTCTAAATGACAAATTTCAAGTTAAGCTGAAGAATGGGAATGTTAAGGAAATTGCGGTTTTTATTGCAGCATCGAATACGTTTAACAGGTTTTTTTTAATTTTTTAAAAATTTAATTGACAGTTTTTAAAGGAAAAATTTAAATTGTTCACTCAAGGAAGGCGAAAAGCGTTTAAAAGAAGTTACGGAAGAGGCGTTGATTACAGGCCTAAAAGTCCGGGGTTATATAAGCACAGTTCTTGGATGTCCTTATGAGGGCCATGTGGATCCTATTCTGGTTACGAAAATGACTGAAAGGTTGCTTGACTATGGTTGTTATGAAGGTTGGATTCTAAAATTTCTTCTTAGTTTTTATTGAATAAAGTCAGCCCTCCCCAGAGCTGGGCGAGAATTTTCGTTTCATTTCGCAAAAATTAAATTTGTTTCGTTGAGGGCAAAATTTTATTTTTGCCCAGCTTTGGACCTCACTATTACGATACACTTCATTATAAATTTGTGATTTTTCAACCTTGGGAGTACCTTAAAAGCAAGAATTTTTAATCACAAATTTTACTATTTTCAGTAAGCCTCGGTGATACAATCGGCGTTGGAACTGCTGGTAGTGTTGCTAATCTGTTGGATGAATTGTCGTTAGCTTCTATTCCATTTACAAAAATTGCCGTTCATTTTCATGATACTTATGGTCAAGCTTTAAGCAATGTTCTTATTTCTATTGAGGTTTTTTCTAAACTAGAAGCTTTTTTATTTTATAATTTAGAAAGGCATCAGAGTCGCAGACAGCAGTATTGCCGGGCTTGGAGGTTGTCCATTTGCAAAAGGGGCTACGGGGAATTTGGCCACAGAAGATCTTGTTTATATGCTTGAAGGATGTGGATTCTCCACTGTAAAATTTTTTTTCTAAATTTTAACTAAAAATTTTTGTAAATTTTAGGGAGTGAATTTGGAACGACTTGTTGAAACATCCGACTGGATATGTACAGAAATGGGACGTGAAAATCAGTCTAGAGTGGCAAATGCTATGCTTGGAAAGAAAAAGGACCGTTGGAAAATGAAACGTTATGAGGGTGATTTTTAATTTTTAATTTTCTTGTAAATTTTAAAGAAATTTTATTAATAAAGTTTGGAACTTTCCGAAAAAAATTTTTTTAATTAAATTTTTTGGATGACTTTTGGGAAAATAATTTCTCGGCAAAACTTTATTTCCTTATCAAATTTTTTTTCATATTTTTTATTTGTAATTTAATATATTCTATTAAATATATATTATATGTTTGTTTATTCTGAAACTAGTATATATTCATTTAAAAATGATAGGAAGGAAGGGGGGGGGTGTCCATGATTGGGAGGAGGAGGGGGGATAGAGAAGAAAAGTGGAAAAACTTTAATTTAATAAACAAATAATATTCTGTTTAATTTTGCAAATTAGTTAGGAAATTAAATAAATTTTTCTAATTCATTTTGTTAATTTATAGACTAAAAACCTCTCAATGTTTTGCTCAAATTCTCCCTTATTTATTTTTCTTTTTATTTTAATTCCTTTTGCTACTAAAGCCTGGATAAGTGAAAATAGGCGAATTGAACAAGAAATACTTCGTAATTATGATAAAAGACATAGGTATTTTATTTGAAAATTTTAGAAAAATTTTTTTGAATTTTCAAAATTTTTTGGAATTTCAAAAATTTTAAAAAAAATTTTTATAGAAATTTTTATTTCAAATTTAGGCCTGTAAAAGTCGAGTCTACCATTATACGCGTTCAACTCTTCCTAACAGTAAATCATATTGAAAAAGTGGATGAGCATGAAGGAACAATGCTTCTACATGGAATTTTATGGTAACCTGTGAAATAATTTTAAATAATTTTTTTCTCTTTTAGGGCAGCTTGGAATGATGATTATTTAAAATGGACGCCTTCAGAACACAATAATACTTTTGTTATTTCTATGGAAGCTTGGAAAATTTGGCAACCAACATTTGCTCTATACAATTCCGCAAGAAGTAATAGCTGGTTTGTCTACATGAGTGGGGTATAAATTTTTTTAAATTTATTTTTTGGACAAAAGAGAGAAATTAAATATTTCTTTCCTCAATAAAACGTCCCCAAAAATTAGCCATAAACACGGCCCACTGGTTTTTAAAAGAAAAAACTCACTTCGCAATAGAAAGGTAAAGGGCCGCTATCGAATGTTGCCCAAAAAATTCGTTCTTGTTGACAGTGAAGAATGTTCCATCATCAGTTCACAATGAAAACAAAGGCGTATTTAGGACCTGTATTATGAAGTGTGCCAAATTTAGCTTTTCTAAAATATTTTTTATTATCTAAAAAAATTTAACAGGTTCCTGCAACTGTTTCAAATGATGGGCGTGTATTTGCAGCAGGAGCTTTTTCTTTCCAAGTTACTTGCCAATTTAATTTTGCTGCTTATCCATATGATATTCAAGAATGTCCAATTGTTCTGGCTGATTGGCAGTTAATTTTAATTAATAAAAATTTTTTAATTTTTATTTTTGAGGTATGATGCATCTAAAGTCAATTTATCTGAAGCTGTCAGTGCTCGTTCTGGTCTAAACAGTTTAGCAAAACCAGCAATTCGTCTAAGCTTTGATCCGTTATCTGAAAATGTCAAAAAACATGTTGCTGGTATTTTTTGATAGAAATTTTTTAAAGAAAATTTTTTTAAATAAAGGATGGGAAATAATTGACACATGGCAAAGACTTTGTTATTGGGGTATTTTAATATTTTTTTAAAATTTTCTATAATTTTTTTTAAATTTAGGACCTACTGGTTATTGTGTTGATTCGTCTCCTATTGGACCTGTATTTTTATTTTTCAAAATTTTAAATTGAAAAATTTTTCTTCTAGCTGGATAATTATTGGTCCTTAATGGAATTTGGAATTCGAATCAAAAGGCATGCTCCATATTACGGACTTACTTTAGTTCTTCCAATTGTAATTTTTTTATTTTTTTTATAAAGTCAGACCTCACTAAAATACCCACTTAAGGCTTGAGAAAAAGCAAAGTATATTATGGATGTAAATATTTTAGGGTGTAGCAAGGATTCGGATTTCAGGGGGCTAAAATGGAGGCGTTTTCGAACGCAAATTTTTTGTACGTTTTGAGAATTTTGGAGACCCTTAGTTCCCGGGCTTATTTTCATTTTTCATGCTCTTGAATGAGTTTATCATATATTGGGAGTATGTTTGTCAAGGGCGTAGACAGGGAGACGAGGGGTAATTATAGTTATATTTTTAGTGAGGTCCAACTGTGATTTATTTAATTATCAAAAAAATTTTAGATTATAACAATACTTCTCACACTTTTTGTTTTTTGGTTGGATAGTTTACCTATGGCTATTTTTCTTTGTATTTTTAATTTATTCTTGGAATCAGTTTGTGGTATATTTATTTTTTTATTAAATTTTTTTTTGTTTTTATGTCTCAATTTGCTACAACAAATACCTCCCGGTGATGGTGTTATGCCAACAATTGGAACTGTTTATTGTTGGAATTTGATGTTAACTTTATTTGCACTATGTTTACATTGTATTTTTCATTTTTTGATTACAATATTGTTACCGGATACAAAATGTTTGCCGGAACAGGTTTTTTTCTCTTAGTTTTTCTTTATTTTTCTCCAAAAATATTTTTAAATAGCTTTTTATTGGATCCCAACAAGGGTTGTATCAGGTGGGCTAGAGCCTCCCCCCGAAATCGACCCCCTAGATACGCCCTTGTATCCCAATAATGGGTAAAGCAAATTCTCTGGACGCAAATTAAAACAGGGGAAGTACCTGACAAAGTTTTGATGACAAACCCCCTTTCTCTGTGCTACTCTCCCTTTTATGCATGAGAAAAATGGGCGTTAATAATTTTAAACACGACAAGTATCTCAAAAAAATTTTTTTTAATTTAGTTAAAAAATTTGTCTTCAATCTTGAACCGTTTTCAAGCTAAAGAATTGTTTGTTCTTTCATTTGATCCACAAACACTTGGGTTTTTTTTAATATTTTTTTATTTTATTTTTTAAATTTTAGTTCAAATAATCAAGACGAACTTCCGAATCATTTAATTCCTTTAGAAGATACTTCCGATTTAAATCAATCCCCCCAACAATTTATTATTGAAATGGAACCTATAATTATTGAAACTGATTCTTCTAATAACGCTCAATTAAAATTACAGCAACAACCTTCAACTTCTGCTACACAATTTGAAGCTGTTGAACTTGAAGGTTTTTTTTCAATTTTTTAATAGGAAAAATTAAAGCTAGAGTTAGGAACTCCCTCCTTAAAAACAGACTTAATCCCCTCCATGATCTATTGGTTAATAAAACCACGATATTCGGTTAATAGCATTTTTAAATTTGAGAGTTTTTCGGTTTCAATTTTTCATTAATCAACTGGTCTTTGAGAGAACTTATTAAAAATCATTTTTTAAATATTAAAAAAAAATTTTTTTTTAGAAATTCCTCAACAACAAAAAACAATAACACCAATGGAAAATCCTTCAACCACAAAATCAACAACATTAAAAAGAACTTCAAATTCAAAAAAGAGTTTATTATCCTTTGGAAGTGGTGTATTCAAAAGTAAAGAAGCTAAAAATGAAAAGCGTATTGATGCTCCTTTTTCTATTAATTTAAATTTTGAAGGAGAGAAAAAAATTGAAAAGTGTGAAGAAGAAGAGGAAAAGAATGATCAACAAATTTTAATAAATAAGGAAGAAAAATTGGAAGATGAAGAAAGAAGAAAAAATATTTTGGAAGAAAAAAAGGTTTTAGAAAATAAAGAAGAGGAAGAAAAATCAATTTTAGAAAAAGAATTGATGTTTTTACGTCAATTAATATTTTATTTTTATTTAATTGTTTCAATAATACTTATTTTTATAATTATTTTTTAATTGTTTCAGAGATGTTTTTAATTTTATTATTTTTTAATAAACTTTTCCGGAAGACTAAGTATTGGAAATAAAGTTTCAGCTTTACTACTGCGGTGGTGTAGTGGTTAACGCTCCAGACTTTAATCTTTGGGGGGTCTCAGGTTCGATGCCTTGCGTCTGTTTTCTTGACTGTTTTGATGTGTTTTATGCTTAATAATTAAAAAAAATTTTTGGTAGGAAAATAATAAAATAAATATTTTTTCTTTCCCTTTCCAAGTTTCAGGAGGAATTAAAAAGCAATAAAATAGTAACAAAAAAATAATGTTGTTTTTATGTTTGTATATTTTTATTTTTAATCTGATGCCGCGTAAAATAAATTTTTTTTCGTGCATTTGTGTTCAGGTGAGATGATTTTGTTTGTGTAGAAAATTGTACGTTTTTGGGTTGATGGATTTTAATAGATGTGAAAAAAGTGAAGAGAAAAAAAATGGGTGACCGCGCCTCTCTTATTTACCGGATTGACACTTTTTGCCCTTAAAAACAAATTATTTCGTTCTCCTTTTGTATTATAATCATTTTTGTTCACAATATTTTTTTCCTGAATCAAAAATATTTTTTAAATAAAATCAAAATTCTTTTTAATGTTAAAAATTAAATTTATTTTAAAATTTTTTATTCTCATTTTAATAATTAAATTGTGTAATTCATCTCCTTGGTCAGCCTATAATAACCCTTATGGAATGAATCAAGGTTATCCTCAATATTGGAATCGAATATCTCCTTCTATGATGAATCCGTATGGACAATATGGTGGTAGATTTTATGGTAATGGAGGGATACAAGGTTAATTAATTTAAACTTTCCGGAAAATAAAATACAAATTATACTCATTCCGGAAATGGTATAATTTCCGGAAGAATACAAATTACCCTCCTATAAATAATCAAATATAATTTCCGGAATTAAACTTTTTCCGGAAAAGAATATTTTCCTTCTTGTAATAAAAATACCATTTATTTTAATATTTCCGGAATAACAACTTTCCGGAAATAAAATACAAGTTACCATTCTATAAATAATAAATACATAACGATTAGGAAAATAGAAGCTTTCCCGAAGAATACAAAAGTTCATTTTCAGGTCTAAATCCTTTCTACGGCAGAAATACACAACCAATAAATGGATATAATCCATACAACAATTACTTTCCGTATTATAGAGGACAGAACCGTTTTATCTCGTCTCTCTCTTATCCCTATCGAACATTTGGAGGGCCGTTTACTTGAAAAAAATTTTTATTTTTGGTGAAAATGAATAAAAAATAGATCCGCATAAATTTAAAAATGTTTTTAAAAAATAATAAATAATAAAATTTTATTTCGAGAATAAAAATATTGAAAAATAAGTATAGGCAATCACCGGTAGACAAATTTTTAATTTTAGGACTATAAATTAATACAAGGCAAATATAAGTAATTAATATGTTATTTATTTTTAATGTTTCCGGAAATAAACTCTTTCCGGAAAATAAAATACAAGTAATACCCTCTTATAAATCACCTAATATGTTTCCGGAATTATATTTTCCGGAAAAATAGTGTATAATATTTAAGTATAATATTTAGATTATTTCCGGAAATAAACTCTTTCCGGAAATGTTTACTCACATATGTATTTTGTCAACAGCACTTCTTATTTTTGTGTAAAGTTGACTAACTGGATTATCACGTATTGCTAAAATAAATTTTTTTAATTTTTTTTTCATTTCTCTACCAGTATCTGCCCTATCTATAGTTCTTTGAAGCACAATCAAAATTAAAGCAACTAGCACCATTATTGCCATAATAAAAATACAAGTGAACACAGTCATTGAAAATTGTAGCCAAACAAGTGTTCTGTACAGCCTTGTTCGACTTTTTAACAAGGCATATTTTTGTTCTTCCTGTGGGCTTTCAACAACGATAACTTCGTCGTCTTGCTCATTTTCTTCTTTTTCGTTGATTTGCTTTAAGAGAAAAAAATAAATGAAATTTTTGTTGGTTACTGTAAATCCCCCAAATTGTATTTTTATAAAAATCATAATCCCCCTTGTCCTTTCTATTAGAATTAAAAAACTATTTTTTATTCACCTTCAATTCATTTATAATATTTTGTTGTTTTTCCTTTTCAATAATTTTTAAATTTGTTTTATTTTCCCCTAAAGAATAAGCAACAAATACTTCTGCTGGGGAACTGGGCAAATAATAACTTGGTGGAGATGTTGGGGGTAGTTGTAGGGGTGGGGGTATGGGAATATTATTATCTATTTTGATATTATTGTTGTTATTCAAGTCTTCATTCATTTAATTGTTTTTAATTGTTAAAGTAAACTTTTCCGGAAGACAAAATAATGTTTTAAAGTTTTTTAATTATGTTGTTGTGGTGGCTTAGTGGTTAACGCTCCCGACTTTAATTTTTAGGGGGGCAGGGTTCGATGCCTGGCGTGGAAAATAATTTTTAATTAAATACTATTACGAGAAAAAATTATTTTTTCTTTAACAAATTATTTTATTTTTGGTTTAAAATAATTTTTCTAGTGTTTTTAAAAATTGTCAAAAAAATTTAAACAAAAATAAGGTAAATAAAGATGAGTCAGGTATGTATAAATTTAAAAATAAAAATTAAATGGCTGCGCAATTTTAAATCGGGAGGAGGAACATTAAAAGAGGGAAGGGAGGGAATCTGTTCAAAAAAATATTTTTTTAATTGAAAATTATTTTAACCAATAACGAAAAATCTTTGGAAATTAAAGAACTTCCTCCAATTTTTAACATTTATTTAAATAAATCAATAAAATATTTCGAGAACATAGCGAGAGCAGACGAACGTATAAAAATCTTTTGTGGCCTGACTGATTGTGGGTGAAAGTAATTAAAGGGGAATTGAAGGAACATTTGGAGTGAAAATTAAAAAATTAAATAATTAATTGTGGCAAAGTGGGATTATTTTAATGACTGACCGAAATGAAACAAATTTTGGTTATTGGTCGAAATGAGATGGTTCCTTGACAATGGACCGAAATGAAAAATTTTTCGCTGTTGACCGAAATGAATTTTTTTCACTATTGACCGAAGTGAGTATTTTTTCGTTTCTGACGAAATGAAATTTTTCGTTATTGACCGAAGGGTAATCCTGCAGAATCTGGGAGACACCTTAAAAACACCTTAAAAATTATTATTTTTTTCTGAAAATAATTTTATATAGGTAATCGACCATGCTGATCACGAATATGAGCTTAGAATTTGTTTATTTCGAACCCCGGACTCGATTTCGACAAAGTCGAAATTCGGGGTAAAAATTCGATATTAAGAATTTAGGGCTAATCTGATTCGCGTTTTCGAACTGAGTCGAATGCCACCGAAATTACCACGATCCGACTCCATAGGGTCGAGTTACAGACCCCTGAAATTTGAAAATTTTCGAGGTCAAAAAATCGAAAATCCAAATAATAGCTCATTCGAGAGAACTCGACGAGCTGAGTTGAATGACACCAGAATCAACTCGATTGAATGATTCTGAACAAAGTTATGACCAACGGAATCTTCGGTGGAAAACCTGTGGGAATATACTAAAGCGACCTAAAATCAAGCATATGATAAAAAATCATAGATAAAATGTCACATTTGACAAAATCTGATATCAGATTCGTGATCAGCATGGTCGATTACCTATATAAAATTATTTTCAGAAGAAAATAATAATTTTTAAGGTGTTTTTAAGGTGTCTCCCAGATTCTGCAGGATTACCGACCGAAGTGAAATTTTTTTAAATTTTTGACCGAAATAAAACATTTTTACCACTTTTACTGAAATGAGAATTTTTACAGCACTGACCGAAATAAAATATTTCTTATTTCTGACCGAAATGAGAATTTTCATTATACTGACCGAAATGAATTTTTTTTCACTATTGACAGAAGTGAAACTATTTTATATTTTAATTTTGATTTTTGAGTCTCCTCGTAAAAGTCATCTTATTTTTTTATCTTATCTTGGATGCTTTTTTTTCTTTTTTTTTATTTTCCATTTATCTATTAAGGTCTAATTAATTGTGTAATTTAACATATGTAAATGGGAATACCTGCAATCCAACTTTTTTTAATTTTTGCAAGACAAATGGCTAAACCAGGTTTATTTTAAAATTAATTTTTAAATAAATTTATAAATTTTTAGTTAGTAACAGAATTATGACTTATGGAAGAAAACATCCATTTTTTCGGAATAAAATACTTATTCCTGCTGGGAGAGGTTTTTTTGAATTTTTTTTCGAGGGAAATTTTGAGAGGGAAATTTTGGGAGGGAAAAATATTTTAATTTTTTTTTAAAATTTTTCTTGATTATAGAAAAAATTCTCAATATTTTAGGTATAACGAACATTACTACACGCCTTCGAATGCGGGATTTAGGCCTTGGAAAACCTCAGACTTTAGTGCAATTATCGGATGAAGCAGCGTTAGAGCAGGTTTACTTCTTTTTTTAATTTTTTTTTACTTTTTGCTTACATTTTCCCCATCTCGACAAAACAAAAACTCGCCCCGAATTAGAACTCTCATTATTATTTACGAGTATTTGACCCATTAAGTATTTAGAACCAGAGAAAAAGTCTGGGCCGGGTTTCGATCGGATTTGGGTTTGAAAAGGGTCCGGATCAGACCTGGGCGAAACTCCAAATTTTTTTCGGACGAAACGAAACGAAACAAAAATTTTTAAAAATCGTTTCGTTAACAAAACGAAACGAAACAGTCAAAATTTAACGAAACGAAACGAAACAAAACGAAACATTTTAATTTCGAAAAAAATCTCAAAAATCTGGATTATTTTATTAACTACACAATTTTAAGCATATTAATTGGCCAATTATGACATATAAGTGATCGTAAAATTATGTGGACCATAAATTGTGGTAAATTGTGGTCACATTAGCCAATTTTTCTCTTAATCTCACTTAAATCTAGAGTTTAGCGGTATCGGGATTTATATAAAAACCGGGATCTGGATTTTGGAATGGTGATACCGATCCCGACACAGGATCGGGATTGGTCGAAATTGTCGCATTACCGAATGAGTAATTGATTATTAAGCCAAGGTCCTTCCCTCAAAAATATGCAAAAAGATTAATCTGCGAATACTCCCAGTACGGGCTCTAAAGATAATTAAAAAGGGGGTCAACTCTGTACCCCTCATTAGCTCCGTTAATCCCACAGATCGACTGATTAAACTTGTAAAGAGATAAAAGCAAAAAATGGTGTTGATCAAAAGTTTGTAAGCCTTCAGGGTCAATAGGTCATCAGTGAGTAGGTTTACGAGGGGGGGTCCTTTCTCATCGCCGCAGGCGAAAATAGGTCCTTAAGCCAGAGTTCTTCCATTTTCTGCGCCGCAGGCGAAAATTTTGAAAAGTTTGAAGGTCAATAAGCCAGATTTCTTCCATTTTCAGCGCCGCAGGCGAAAATTTTTTGAATTTTTATCACCAAAGGGGAAATTTTTTTAGTTTTTGGGGTATATTTTGGCTTAAAAAATAGGTAATGTTTCGTTAACGAAACACAGGTGTTTCGTTAACAAAACGAAACGAAACAAATTAAAAAGTGTTTCGTCACGAAACGAGACGAAACAGGAAAAAACATAACGAAACTAACGAAACAACGAAACGAAACGAAACGTTTCGCCCACGTCTGGTCCGGATATAGGGTCTGGCTAGTTTGTGGGATTAGGAAGGACAACAAGAGATTTGGGGGATTAAGAGCTTTCAAAAGAAAATTGAGGGGAAAAGGGTATTTTATTAGTATCCCGCCCACCCCTATTTGTGTTTCAAATTAATTTTCCTTTTTTTATTGACAAAATAGGGGGGGGGGATGTTAATTAAGTAATGGGAAAGTCCGCAATTTTTTCCCCAAAAAAAATATTTTTCAGGCCTCAGATATTTTGCAAGAAGCAGTTCTTTATATTTATGGAATTGCAATATTTTCTCTGTATTATTACATTTCTAAAGCAAACGAAAAACATACTGTTTCACATGATGACTTGAATGAAATTGTTGAGAAAATTGAAGAAAGATTTGAAATTTTACAAAAGGAAATTGATAATTTAAAGAAAAATGAGAAGGTTTTTTTTATTTTTAATAAATTTTTTGTGGACATAATTTTGCGGATGTTCGCAAAAAAATTTTTTGTCCGCAAATAATTTGCGGATTGTCCGCAAATTTTTGCGGATACTTTATTTAAAGGTTGGAATGTTTTATTTGTTATTTGACCGCAAAATTGTGTCCGCAAAAACTAATTTTATTTTAAAATTAAAAAAATTTTTTTAAAGGATGTTGGTTGGTTTTCTTGGCGTAATAGTGAAAGAAAAACATTTTTGCCTCCTCAAAGACCATTAGAAACAGAAAAATTGACAATCTCTAGAAGTGAAGCAATGAAAAGATTAGCGGATTATGACAAAATTGCTGAATAGAAATTTATTTATTTTTTTGTATTTTTTGCGGACAAATTTTTGCGGACACATTTTGCGGATGCCACAAAAAGAATTTTTTGTTTTGCGGACTATTTTTGCGGATGTCCGCAAAAAATTTTTTTTCCGCAAAAAATTTGCGGACAATTAATTTAATAAGGGGAATATTCAAATCTTCTTGTTATTGACCGCAAAATTTGTGTCAGCAAAAATCAGAATTTCTGAAATTTTTGGTTTTCTTCCCTAGAATATTCAGGAAGGCTCTAAAAAAGTTTTTTTGTATTTTAAATTTTATTTTGTAAAAATTAAAAAAAAATTTTGTTTTTTTTTAATTTTTTAAACGATTTTTATTTTCGTTTTTTATTTTTTTAAATTTTTTTAAAATTTTTAAAATTAATTTACCAGTTAAATGTTGCAAGATTTAAGTACTCGATGTGCAATATACACAAAACAACAAGATGGGACATTTACTCAATGTGCAAATTTTGCGTTTACGCCGATAAATGGAGGAATTCAATTTGATAAAAATATTCCCTTTTTTGTGGAGGAGGTAAAGTGTAAATTTTGATTTTTAAGAAAATTCTGGTTCCAAATAATTATGACCAGAATTCTGATTTTTTTGCAAAATTCTGATTTTTAATGAATTCTGATTTTATGAAATTCTGATTTCCAAAAGTTCTGTTTTTTGAAGTTCTGTTTGTTAGAAATTCTGGTTTCAAAGTTCTGATTTCTTAAAAATTCTGATTTTAATAAATTCTGGTTTTTTTTAATGATTCTGATTTTAAAAAATTCTGATTTGCAGAATTTTTTATTTTTTGAGAATTCTGATTCTAAAAAATTACGGTTCCAAAATTCTGGATTTATCAAAATTCTGGTTTTCAGATTCTGATTTTTAATTTAATTACCCCTAATTTTTAGACAGACATTTCAACACTCTTCATTTGCCGTCCCCATTATTTATTAATTCAAAATCCATCAGAATTTAATAATTTAAACAATCAAATAAATAGTCAAAAAGAAGAGGAGGATTTTATTGAAGAATTTACAAATTTTGTCCAACAAATTTCCAACAAAAAACAAATTAATTTTAATCAGTCTGAGGAATATTTAAAAAGTCAATTGATTACAAAAAATTTATTGGAGAAATATCGCAAGGTTTTTTTATTAAATTTTGGAGAATGAGAGGGGGAAGGGTAAAAATTTTTTTCTAGAATTTTTTTTAATTATGGAGCCAAAAAGTCCGAAATTTTGTCCGCAAGTTTTTTTTTATTAAATTTTGGAGAATGGGAGGGGGAGGGGTAAAAAATTTTTTTTCTAGAGTTTTTTTTAATTATGTGGCCAAAAGTCCGCAAATTTTGTCCGCAAGTACATATATTTCTCTAAAGAAATTTCACTTAATTTGCTCAAAAAAACCTTGCGGACTTTCTGATCCGCTTAATCGAAAAGAGTCATTTTTTATTTAATGATGACATGGTTTTTTTTTTTGATTTTCCCAAATACATTCTGGAATTTAATCCAATTTTAGCTATTGGACTAAGGTTGGCGGTTCTGGGTATCCGGAACCAAAAAAACCCCTGATATCCGGAGATTTTCGGTTCTGATAAATGTTCCGTTATCCGAATATTTCCCAGGAACTGCCATCCTTATTTTGGACCCCTAACAAGTAATATTCCAAAAAGTTTAAAGAATTTTTTTGAAATTATTTTAAAAAAGAAAATCTTTTTGCAGCCAGTAAATTATGCACAAATGAATGAATCAACGGTTATTATTTATTTTTTAAAAATATCTTTTAAAATTTACAGAGGAACAGATTCGATTCCCTTTCAACAACAGCTTTGCGAAGATATAAAAAATTCTTTAAATTGCCGAATAGGTCGGGGGCAATTTCTAAACAGCAGGTTTTGGATTTTTTAAAAATCTTTTTAAATTTTCTAAAAATTTTTATTTAAGCTTCTCGATGGAATAAATGAACATTTTAGGAATATAGTAGCTGAACCTAAAGAGGTTATGACAAATTTTATGTTTACAATAAATAATAAATTAAATTGTGTTGATAATTCTAGTGAAGAGAATAAATAAATAAAAGGTTTTTTTTATTTTAAAGAAAAAGGGGAGGATTTCTATAGTGTTAGACCGGCTGACTATAAAATCGAAAGCTACCATCGGCCAAGGGCGTATCCAGGGGGTCGGTTTCGGGGGGGGGGCTAACACTGGGTGGGCGCAAAAATTTTTGGCGTTTGCCTTGGCGTTCCGGACGCAAATTTTTTTGTACATAAATTTTCATCTTTTTTGCGCCGCAGGCGAAAATTTTTTGAATTTTAGAAGGCCGTAGGCAAAAAATTCACTTTTTCAGCGCCGCAGGCAAAAATTTTTTGGAATTTGGAGCCCAAGAAGCCAGATTTCTTCCTTTTTTAGCGCCGCAGGCGAAAATTTTTTAAATTTTAGAAGGCCGTAGGCAAAAAATTCACTTTTTCAGCGCCGCAGGCAAAAATTTTTTTGAATTTGGAACCGAAGACGCCAGATTTCTTCCTTTTTCAGCGCCGCAGGCAAAAATTTTTGGTAATATTCAATTTCGTTCCCCCCTCCTTTTTTGCATCCTCAAAGTATTAAAAAATGGTCAGTCTGACTTAAGTTATAGAACTCGTCGAGCTGAGTCGAATGACACCAAAATCAAAAAAATCCGACTTGATTGGACTGAAATACAGACCCCTGAAAATTGAACAACCACGGGAGCGAAATACTAAAAAGACGAAAAAGTATAAAAATGATAGCTCATTCGAAAGAGCTCGTCGAGCTGAGTCGAATGACACCGAAATCGACGTGATCCGACTTGATTTGACAAAGTTATGACATAAGGTTGCCGACTCCGGTAGGTCTAAATAATGCCATAACTTTGTCAAAACTCGTCCGATTACGTTGATTTCGGTGTCATTCGACTCAGCTCGACGAGCTCTTTCGAATGAGCTATCATTTACATAAAAAATTTTTATTCTAAAAAATCACCCCTATGGTTGTTCAATTTTCAGGGGTCTGTATTTCGGTCCAATCAAGTCGGATTTTTTTGATTTTGGTGTCATTCGACTCAGCTCGACGAGTTCTATAAATTAAATCAGACTGACCATTTTTTAATACTTTGAGGATGCAAAAAAGGAGGGGGGAACGAAATTGAATATTACCAAATTTTTTTGAATTTGGAACCGAAGAAGCCAGATTTCTTCCTTTTTTAGCGCCGCAGGCGAAAATTTTGAGGATTTTGGAGCTCAAGAAGCCAGATTTCTTCCATTTTTTGCGCCGCAGGCGAAAATTTTTTAAAATTTGAGGGTTAAGGCGAAAAAATTTCACTTTTTCGACCATCCTTCTCCTAATTTTTTCCCCCTTTCCCCCATTTCGGGGGGGGGGGGGGGGGGGGGGGCTCTAGCCCCCCCCAGCCCCCCCCCCCCCCTGGATACGCCCTTGCCATCGGCTGACTATAAAATCTAAAGGAAAGTAGTGAGAAGGGTCAAGGAATCAGTTATGAAGGCTTCTCTATTTGTGTTCGATCAGCCTTTGCTCGATCAAGCGGTCGACAGATTTCGATTAACCCTACTTGCTCTCACAATCAGTGTCTCTTGAAGCGCAAATCCGTTTCATTCTTTGGGTGGCTCCCTATTTAACTATAGAAACAGGGTAGCACCCCGAGCCTCCGAGGCCGGGAGTTTCGGGGTTTTGTCGGAGTAGAGCCTTCGGGGTTTCGGGGGACGGGTGCTACCCTAATAGAAATAACCGGAAATTTAAAAATCTAATTTTATTCCTATATATAAATTATCTCCACCTTTTAAGATAATAATAATTTACAAAGATATAATAAACTAAAATTGTAGCAACAAAACCTGCCCCAATCCTTTTAACATTTTTCCAAGCATCTTCTTTATATATTTTGTCAAAAAATGGATTACTTTGTTTTGTTGATAAAAACGAAAATAATCTTCTCCTTTCTGATCCCATTTGTTGTTGAGAATTTTGTTGTCTTTGTTGCCGGTCAAAATGGTTTCTTTTACTTAAAATAGAAAATTATTTAGATTAGTAGACCCTGCAAAATAGCCAAAAATCTTTTGGATATGACTAGGGTTGGGGTTTTCGAGTTGGGCCGACGTTCGAGTCATTTTTTGGGGGCTTCATTTCCATCGGGCCGGCCCGACCGAGTCTCTTTCGGGCCAAACTCCGATGACCGACTCGATCTCTCGGACCGGGACCCCAACCCTAAATATGACGAAATTGCGAACTGTTGGAAATCGGAATTCAAAAAAACTAGGAGGGGGGGTCTCTAAAAAATTCTAGTTACGGGTCTGGTACTAATGATAACAGAAATAGAGGGTTGTTGGTTCTTGTAAAAATCTTTTGGATATTCGGAACTGAACAGAAGTAACTGAAACGAGAAACCGAGGTGTTCTTTGATTCGACTCCTCCTGTTCTTGTTATTTTTAATCATTTTTTGGTCCGTTTCGAAACGACAACTTTAACACAAACAGGAAAGCACCACCAAATTTTCACATATTCTACTTGTCTTATCAAGTTTTTTGAGAGAGGGGTTTCCCAAACTAAAATTCAAATAAACCTGCTCATATTTTGAAATTCACTCCAATCTTTTTCCCATTTTTCTGTTTTTGTTTTTTGAGAATAAGTAGTTTTATATATTCTTGTTGGCATTTCTGCAGCATTCAATGAATCATAAGCTAGCTTTTTCTCTTTTGAACCAAGAACTTCATAAGCTTCAGAAACCTATAGAAAATTTAAAATTAAAGAGAGAGAGAACAATCACTAATCGATTAAAATAAATTCAAAATTTACTTTGTGAAAATTTTTGGAAGCTTTCTCCTTGTCTTGATTCACATCTGGATGGTATTTCTAAAAAATCTAAATATATAAGCAAATCGCCAATTTTGTAATTATTTTTAGAGATCGGCCTGGGTCTGGACCAAGGCCTAGGTTTTCCTGTACCCAGAGTCCAGGCCTAGGCATTTTTTTTACCTTCCCGGGTTTTTTCCTGGGCCTGGGCTTTTCCTAGACTACAGGTCCAGGATCCGGCCCAAATTAATAAATCAAACCCAGAACCCAGGAACAAGTCCAAGCTTTTCAAAAATCTCGATCTCTAATTATTTTTATGATTTATCTTATCGCACAAAATTTCTACTTCACAAAATAATGAAAACCTCCCTAAACTATTTTGGTAAAAAATATTAAAAAACCTTTGAAAGTTTATAAAAAGCTTCTTTAATCTGTTCAGGTGTAGAACCTCTTGACACTCCGAGAATTTTATAATAATCCTTTCGAGTTTTAGAAGCAGTAGAAAAATACAATGTTGTTGTGAAATGTGAATTTGTAACGGGCAAATGGCATAAATTAAATTTGTTTGTATTTATTGCAAAATTCATTTTTTGAAATCTAAAAATTATTTAAAAAAATTTTTTGATTGAAAAGGGAAAAAAATACGGGGTTTTGGCATTACTGGCAAATTGAATTCCAGCCTTATTGGCAAACTGTAGTTTGGCAAAATGTGGTATTATTACATAGTTGGCAAAATTTGTACATCTATTTTGTAGTACTAATTTTGGTGTCATTCGACTCAGCTCGGCGAGCTCTTTCAAATGACACATAAATTGTTCAAATCTAAAAAACGTTGGTTTACTGCAGTTTAGCCAGATCAGGATCTAAACCATGAAAATGAGTCATTCAGCAGTGAAAATTAAAAAATTAGATTTCCCACCTGAATTAATCTTTGAAATAATAACATTTATCCCTTTCCGTTACAAGTGGGAAAATATTCGAATTTCGAAATTAGTAGATATTTTTGTTGTTAAACTTCGAAAAAAGTATATAATTAATTTAAAAATTAGTCTAAAAATAGTGAGTTTTTGCAGCTTAATTTTAATTCTATTAAAATAATTAAAAAATTAAATTTTTAGTTAAAGAATGAGATCGAGGTCACAACTGGCAATATCAATTTGTGCTTAAAAAAGTTGGCTTTTTTTGTTAAAGATGGATCACGTGCTGAAGAATGCATGCAAATATCTTGCCAATTTGGGGGTATTTATGAGTTAGAATAACATCAATTTATTGTGAAATTTAATTTAAATTTTGGAAAAATTGATGTTATTTATGATTAAATAATCATATCTTTTATAATATTTAAGGGATTTTTTATCAAATTAAAACTTTTTCGAGTAAACATGCGTGTTTTGCTAAGATTGATGAGGTCATTGAAAATTTTTTATAGGAATTTAATTTATATAATTTAGGAGTTCAAAAATGAAGATTGGCCTGCCCAACCAATTGTTAATCATTTTACGGATCGTGACAATGTTTTTATTTTTTTGATTAGAATTATTAAATAAAATATTCTTTTAATTTTAAAATTTTAGTGGAAGAAAGCAGGCAAGGAGAGACATCAGATGATCAAGAATATGGTTAAGTTTTTGGACGACAAGCATGCTACGCTTGATAATTTATTTTATACTCCATTTCTGAAAGGTTCAATTTTAGTTTGATTGTTATTTAATCTAATAAGATTTTTTTAGAATATAAGAATTTTTTGGATCTTTTGTTGAGTGCATTCAAAGGATATGTTGAAGTGGCAGAGAAGTCTTATAAAGATTTTAATGAGCGAATGTATGACGAACAAATTGAATAAAGAAATAAAAACGGTTTAATGGTGTTAAATGTTTTGTTGGTGTTAAATGTTTTGTTGGATAAATGTTTGTTAATTTGTATTATTCGGAGATTCGGTTTAATTGATTTAACCTATATATATTTTCTTATTTTAATGTTATTGTATCAACATTCTCAGCGCTTTAATGATTAGCAAATGTGAGTAAAAGGTTTTCATTTTATTTAAAATTTCCCATAATTTCAATTTAGAATTCTGTTTTCTAGTTGACTTTATTAAAAAATTTTAAATTAAAAATATGACGGACGAGAAGAAGAATCAGGCTAAAAAATTAATGAAGGAATTGGATTCAATTGACGAGCAAATTTTTGACAATGAATTAGTTCTTAAAGAGGTTCTCATTTTTTAAATTTATTTTTTAAAATATTTTCCTAGAATAATATTGGAATGAATGAACCTTTAGTTGATGACCAAGACTTTCCACTTTCTGGAATCGACATTTATGCGGTCACTTCTGCTAGAGGAAATATTAGACGTTTTTTTTTTAATTTTTTCGAATTTTTATTTTCCAAATTTTAAAGGTTTACAAAATGATCGAACTGAAAAAATGGCAGAAATTGACAGAATTATTGTTGCTATACACAACCAAACTTCACAGAATGGAAATTCGGGACAGAATAATGAGGGAGAGCCAAGTGTGCATCGTACAAGTAATAAACCTATTGTGCAAGTGGATAAAGTGTCGCCAAATTCGCCAGCACAAAAAGCGGTTAAATTTTGTTTATAATATAAAAATAAGCTCTTCAAAACTAGGAAGGGCTGTTGAACAAAAAATATTCAGTGGTTCCGAGGTTCGTCCCTCATCTTTTTTTCTTCAATAGGCTCATAATGGTCAGACTTCCTTTCTGTTAATAAATGGTCAAAAACGAATGATTCTTTGATGTCCTATTTTGTTCCTTTTGACCGACATATTTTCCAAAGGTAAACATATGGAGAATGATGACAAAAATAGGATGAGAGAGAGGGGGGGGGGACTCGGGAATTATCAAATGTTCCTCTCAAAAGTCCGCATCTTCCTCATTTTTGATATAAAAATTTGCGGACTTTTAGAAACATTCAGGAAAGGAATCCAGAATTTTTTCTCAATTTTATTAAAAAATTTTAAGGGTTTGCGTGAAGGCGATTTAATTATTCAATTTGGTAATTTGCATGCGGATGTGTTCAACAAATTGGATCAATTGAAGGAAGTTGTGAATAATTCGAAAAATGTGAGAAATTTAATTTTAAAAAAGGGAATAGGGACTGAAAAATTTTATTTAGACACAATACCTACAAAATAAAAATTATTCTCCACCAGAGGGACTCGAACCTTCGGCCCCTTGGTTGTTGAATTAGAAATTTTCCCACTACACCACAGGGACGATTTTACCTTCATAGAAATTAAAATTCTAATTTTTGACCTTCCAAAAATGTTTTGTCTCCCAAGGGACTCGAACCTTCGGCCCCTTGGTTGTTGAATTAGAAATTTTCCCACTACACCACAGGGACGATTTTACCTTCATAGAAATTAAAATTCTAATTTTTGACCTTCCAAAAATGTTTTGTCTCCCAAGGGACTCGAACCTTCGGCCCCTTGGTTGTTGAATTAGAAATTTTCCCACTACACCACAGGGACAATTTTACCTTCATAGAAATTAAAATTCTAATTTTTGACCTTCCAAAAATGTTTTGTCTCCCAAGGGACTCGAACCTTCGACCCTTTGGTTGTTGAATTAGAAATTTTCCCACTACACCACAGGGACGATTTTACCTTCATAGAAATTAAAATTTTAATTTTTGACTTTCCAAAAATGTTTTGTCGCCTAAGGGACTCGAACCAGGGATGTCACGGGTTGGGAAAAATGTCGGGTCGGGTTTCCAAAATTTTTCTCGGATCGGGTTTCGGGTTGAGCAAAAAGTCGGGTCGGGTTTCGGATCGGGTTTTCAAAATTTTCTTCGGATCGGGTTTCGGGTTTCGGGTCGAAAAAAGCCAAAATTTTGAAAATTTTGGAAGGCCAAAAAGCCAAAAATCTTCACTTCTCAGCGCCGCAGGCGAAAATTTTGAGAATTTTTGAAGGTCCGAAGCCAGATTTCTTCCTCTTTCAGCGCCGCAGGCGAAAATTTTACAAATTTTGGAAGATCATTAAGCTAAAAATCTTCCCTTTTTCTGCAACGAGGGCGAAAATTTTTAGAAAACTCGGGTCGGGTTTCGGGTCGGGTTTTGAAAAATAAAAATTCTCGGGTCGGGTTTCGGGTCGGGTTTTAGAAAATTTCTCGGATCGGGTTTCGGGTATCGGGTCGAAAAAAAGGCCGGGTTTCGGGTAACCCGTGACATCCCTGACTCGAACCTTCGAATTCTTTGGCCTTCCATCCCTCGGAAAATTTTTTTCTATCTTTTCTTCTCTCAATTTATTTTTTTAAATTTTTTAAGAAACCAATCCGAATAACTTTATTGCGTGGTGTGAAGGTTTTTCGTTTAGTATTAACTCCTCAAGTTTGGGATGGTATTGGACTTGTTGGTTGCCAATTTATTGCTACAGAAAATAATTAAAATTTTAAAAAATGTGCGTTTTAAAAACAAAAAAATTGTCTATTTTTTGCCTAAGAAAAAAATAAAATTTTTTTTATTTGGGTCTCATTTCGGTCAAATTTGGAAATTCTAGAATTTTTTTTTTAATTTTCTTGTAGAAATTCTTGATACTTTTATGAGTTTTGCCCTTTTTGCATCGATTTACCTCAAAAATTTCCCCTCCCCCCATTCGCTTTTCGCCCCATCATAAATATACAGAGCGATAACATAAAAACGGTTTTATAGCCCCTCTCATCTTGAACAAAATTGTGAAATGTCCAAACGATAAAACGAAAACTTTGTTCTCGACATCAAAATATGCTCAATATTTTGGAGAGAAATTTTCAGATTTTCTTGTTGGACCTTTTGTAAATTGGGCATTTTGGGATGTCTAACCTCCATTGATGAGTGAGAGAGATTAAAAAATAAAATGAGAGAAAGGAATGTGTGTTAGTTAAAAATACACACACACTAGTCGTTAAAAACGTTGAGGTAAGTAGGGGGAAAGGGGGGAGGGTAGATACCGGTAGTTATAAATAAAATGGTTATTTTTGACGATAGCATGTAGAGGAAATGAGAAAAGAGAGGAAAAGGTATAGTTTGGACATCTGACCTAGCCAAATAAAAATATATAAATTTACTATTTTCCCCTATATTTATTTTTACATTTTGCCCGAAAATTGTAAATTTTTTTGTATTTATTTTTGCTGTGATTGTTATCTTTTTTGTAATTTTTTTTCTTGTTTTTAATCTTTTTAAGTATGTTTCTGGCTATTTTGAAAGTTTAAAAATTTGTAAAAAATATTTAAAAAAAAGATTAAAATCTGTCAGACCATTTTGTACATTTTTTACAAAACGCCAAGAATTTAAATTATTTCTTAAAAAATTTTTGGGACTGTTAGAGTCTTGGCGTTTGTTTTACACAGAGATCGGAATTTTGAAAAGACCGGGTCCGGGAAACGGGTTCTGAAAGTTGACCGGGAGGACTCGGACCGGGAATTCCCGTTCCCGGTCTCATCCCGGTTGCTTCAAAAAAAACCGGGAAGAGGGACCCGAAAACCGGGTTCGGGTCCCAGACCCGTTCCGATCTCTAGTCTTTCATTTACTTATTCGTTTGATTTTTCATGATTTTTTTTATTTCTTTGAGCATACTTTACTTCCAATTATTGATCATTTCAGTCCAGCTGACCTGTATTTTTCGGCCCTATGACATTAGAGTCCCGGGATCCCGTAACGGGATTTTTTCAACATTTTGTACGGGACTGGATCCCGCGGGATTAATCCCGTAAATCCCGTTTTCCGCGAAAAACCCGGGATTCCGGGACGGGATCCCGTAAAATCCCGCGCGGGGTCTCGTGTCGATCTCTACTATTTAATTTCCTCAGACTCTATAGTGTACACTTTTTTAATTTTTTGACATTTTCCTCCCTCACATTTTTAAACGTTTTAAAATAATTTTCAAACTTTTGTTCATTTTAAAGCAATTTTAAAATGAGAAAAAGGAAGAGGGAGGGGGAAGGGGGGATATCAACTATCCTCTCTTTTACATTTTCTTTTTCGCCGTTTTTATTTTCTTTTACGTTTTTTTTGAAATAAAAGCCTTTAAACCGGTTTGTATTTAAAATTGTTTTTAGGTAATTCGTTTGAGAGAACTTTTTTTCGGCCCATTTATTTTTTGACTGTTTTTCAATTATTTAAGCACAAAAATTGGAAAAATACCGAAATTTTAATTTTTAAGCCATTAGAGTCTCAGACACTTTTTTAAAGAAATTTTTTGTTTACCTAAAAATCTAAATTACATAACTGACTAAAATACCCTTTTTTTCCTTTTGCCTGTCAAAAATTTAAGAAAAATTATCTAGATTCTAGAAGAATATTGAGTCATCTCTTCTTTTTAATGACTCATTGAGATAAAAAAATCCGAGAATCGAAAATAAAAAGTGCATGTGCGCAAAAACATTTGCGTTTTTTAAAAACAAATTTTTAATTAAAAAAATTTTTAAAGGGTTGAAAAATTTTTTTCAGAGTCAATTTTTTTGATTTATTAAGACAATTTTGAACAAAAAAGAAAATTGCTCAAAAAACGCAAAAATATTTGCACAAATGCGCACTTTTTTTAATTAAAAATAAGTATAATTATTTTATTCGTAAATTGTTTTTCCTTGACCGTATTCTCACAATAACAACAACACCCCTCAATTTATTTCTTAAATAATTGTGACATGTCTTTAAATTTATTTGCTTAATCCCTTTATTTTCTTTGCGCACAATTCAAAAAATACAGCCAATTTACACTACGTAAATAATTTTATTTTTAATTGAGGATTTTTCAACGGACTTTTGTTTGTGTAAATATACAAATATTTAACGTTAATTACTTAAATACTAATTAATTAATTTAATGAATTAATTGCTAATTTTAATAGAACTATGCCGGTTAGATCAACAGGTAATTTTTTGAAATTTTTAAAAATTTCAAAAAAAAACAAAAAAAATTTTTGAAAAAATTTTAAAATTTCTGAAAATTTTCGAAAATTTTTTAAAAATTTTTCAAAAAAATTTTTTTTTTCAGAAGCTCACCGAGCACTAGAACAACTCGAAGCCTTTCATGCAGCCTTGACTCGTCCATCCGACTCCGATTTGCGTTGTGCCATTGAAAGGGTTATTGGCCTTTTCAAAACTAATTTGTTTCAAGCTTTGTTAGGTTGGGGGAATTTTTTTCTAAATTTTTTTGAAATTTTTTTTTCAATTTTCAGATATTCAAGATTTTTATGACAATACTTTAATAAATGAAAGAGTGCCTTTAGACTTGAAAACATTGGAAACAAAAAAACTTGCAGAAAAATGGGAAACAAACCCTCCATTTTCAACAGGAAAATCGTCATTATTTGGAGAAGGACAACAACGCCGTCCCTTTCCCCCTCCAATATTTCCTTCTACTTATGCTGCAACAAGTAATGGTTTGCCTTATACAAATGGGGTTGGTGGAGGGGATACAAATGAACCGTTGACGACTAAAACAACTTCACAACATTCCTACTCGTATCATGAACAAAGTCGGCATTTGGTAAGGGGTTTTGATTTTTGTTTAATTTAATGGGGGAAGATTGTTATGAGTTTTTGCGGACAATACTTGCGGATGAATCCATAAAACTTTCATGGGCTAGGGAACGGCTGGGGATAGGGAAAAGTTATGTAGAGTTTCGGATCTAGGTTTCAAAATTTTCTTCGGATCGCGCTTCGGATTTCGAGTCGAAAAAAGTTAAGAGGTTTCGGCTCTAGGATCGGATTTTGGGTAACCCGACTTATCCTTGATATTGGCCTTACAAAACTATATTTACGAAAATTACGAACGAATTTGTAGCATTTAACCAAAAATTTTTATAAAAGTCCGCAAATTTTATCCGCAAAAAATTTGCGGACAATCGAATTTCAAAAATATTTTTTTTAAATTTAAAGACAAAAGATGGTTGGCAAACATCCGAGTATAAAACAAAAACATTGGATACACCAGGCAGTTTTCAAACAGAAACGGTTAGCAATGTTGGATTAATAGACGATCAGGGACGTGAATGGGAAATTGATGACGTTGTTTTGGAGAAAAATCAATTTGGATTGGTTAATTTTTTAATTAGACTTGAGAAATATTTTTAATTTATTTTTAAGGGTTTTTCAATTTCTGGTGGTAAAGATCACAGCACAGGGCCAGAGATTCGAGTAACTGATATTTCGCCTGGAGTAAGGGAAAATTTTGAAAATTGTAAAAATTTTGTTTGTAGGGAGCAGTTGCTCGCGATGGACGTATTCAAGTTGGAGATATTATATTGAAAGTAAATACAACAGAAACTGTTAATGTCCAACATCAAGTATTTTTTTTTTGATTTTTTATTTTTAAATACCACTTTAATGTATTTTAAAATACCTGTGGTTTACTGATAAATAAATAAATAAGAATTCCTGGTAGAATTCTTTTAATATCCGGAGAAAATTTTTTTCCGGATTTTGGGGTTTTAATCCGTTTTTTTGCTGATTTTTTCGAGATTTCTTGTTCAAATTTTGAATATTCAAAAAATTATTTAAGAATAAAATTCAGAAAATACCTCTAAAATCGGGAAAATTTTAAAAAATCTTTTAGTTTTCTAAAAATTAAAATCGAAGGGAGGCCACTTTAAAATCGTAGCTTTACTTTTTATTTTACGTGTTTCAAGGGCGTATCCAGGGGGCACGCCCTTAAGATGTTTTATACTAAAAATAACCATAAATTCGGACATAATTTTAAAATATCAAACTTTTAGGTAGCAGTTGATGCACTGAAAAGTTCTGGAAGTGTTGTTCGTTTGGTTTGAAATTTTTTTAAGAAAATTTTCAAAAAATTTTCGTTTCCAGTTAGTCAAACGTTTAAAACCTCCCTTGGCTACAGCAGAAACTTTTCGTTCATCTCCAATCGAGCCTCTATCCAGAATTTCTCCAGTAAGCCTTTCTGCCTCAAATTTCAATATTGGGACATCTCCACCAATTGTTCCAAGTCATCAACAACCAATTATTAGTGAAGCTATTCGAGATTTGGAAAGAAAACCGGGGGTGAAAAGAATGGAATTAATTAAGGTTTTTTAAATTAAAAAGGAAATTTTTATTCAAAAATTTTAAGATGCTCAATGCTGATGGTCGCTCTAAAGGTTTAGGATTTAGTATTGCTGGAGGTGTTGGAAATCAACACATTCCTGGTTTAGTTTATTAAAATTAGAATTAAATATGAAACCTTAAAATTGTCTAAAAATGAATAAAATAAAAATTTGCGGACTTTGTCTGCTTCAATTTGCGGACAAAAAATTGCTGACTTTAGAGTCTAAACTGAAACCTATTGAATTTGAAGCAAAATGTGGTCACTTTTTCGCGTCCTAGACCATGCGTAGAATCTTTTTTGAGGGTGGCGATTTGACGTCAAAATTGATGTCCTGCTTCACACCCAATCTTAGAAAAATGTCCGCAAAAATATGTCCGCAAATGTCTCAATTGATAAAAATCTTTTTAAAAATTTTCCAAATTTTTAGGGGATGATGGAATATTTGTAACACGTATTATAGAAGGCTCTCCAGCATATTTTGATGGTCGTTTACAAAAAGGAGATCAAATTTTGGCAGTTGATAATATTATATTTAATAATGTTACACATCAATTTGCGGTACAAACTTTGAAAAATACTGGGGAGAGAGCGAGCCTTCTTTATATGAAAAATCCACATCCAGAATTGCCATTAGATGGAAGACAATTGGATGAAAGTGATCGATCTAGATCTTTACAGGTTTATAAAATAATTTTTTTTGAGTTGAGGTGAAAGTGTTTAATTATCTTGGTGTTGGTGGGTGAGTGAGGGTACCTACGAAAAATAAAATTATGTTTTATGGCCGGTAGCTAGTTGGTAAGCAACAGACTTCCAGAGATTGGTCGGGGGTTTATCCTCTCAAAATTGATTTTAAGAAAATTTTTTTAAACCTTCAAGGCGGCTTTTCTCAACCCAAACCCGTTCTCAACCCAAACCCGGATGGGTTTGGGTTGAGAAACAGGAGGCAATGCAAGGTCACCTCCTGCTCCCAACCCAATTGACAGAATTTGAATAAATCTCGTATTCCTTTAGTCTTTGATACTTTAAAAATTTCCCTCAGACTTTTGAAACTATTGGTGGTGGTATAACTTCTCCAACAGCAGCTGATTCCCATTCAATTGGTGGAGGCTTTTCATCAACCCAACAATTAAAACAACCACAATTTGATGTCCCTCGTTTAGTTCGCTTGCGTAAATTGGATACTGGATTAGGATTTAATATTGTTGGTGGAGAAAATGAAGAACCAATTTATATTAGCCATATACTTCCTGGCGGGGCTGCAGATTTAAATGGAAATATAAAAAAGGTTTTTCTTAATTTTTTAACATTTAATACCAGGCCCGTAGCCATGGAAGAAGGAGAAACGCCTAAAATATTTTCCTGGCTACAGTTCTGTTTAATATCATTGGGTCTCCAGGACACAAAAGAATCTGGCATTAAAGTATGAGTGAATTGTGTCAGATTTTACGAGAGTGAACCAAAAATTACTGGAGGTAACAAACGTTTAGTATGAGAGTGACATACAAGTGGGATGTCACTATAGGGAAGTTTGATTGTATGGCGGGGACTTACCCGCCCGAAACTCTAACCTCATTCTACTCGAAACTATATTTGACTTTTCTCAACTTGTGACATCCCTCTTGTTGATGACTGAATTTTCTAAGTCCTCAAGACGAAGTTGTCAAAATTGGTCTTCGATGTTACTAAAATTTGTCTAATTTGTCTAATCTTGTTCCAATTTTTTAAATAAATATTTTTAGGGAGATGTTCTTTTAAGAGTTAATGATGTTGATTTGTCTCGTGCCACACATGCTCAAGCTGCTCAAACTCTTAAAGCTATACCTCTTTATTCTGAAGTTCAATTGTTGCTTAAATACAGACCTATTGGTTTTTAATTTTTTTTTAATTTTTATTCAAAATTTCTTTTAAAGATTTTCAAAATTTTGAACAAAAATTGGAACGTTTAAAAGCAGAAATGATTTTAATGCAACAACAACAACAATTACAACAGCCATATATTCAACAACAACAGCAACAAACTGATTTTTATGTCCGTGCTCTTTTTGATAATGAACCTTCTAGAGATACTGGTAAAATTATATTTTAATATTTTTTGGAGAGAATCAGATCTCCTAATTTTCTTAATCGGAAAAGAATGGTTTATTTTGTTTTTTTTTCCTCTATTTTTCACTATACTTAAGTCTGAACGGCCATAACTCCCCCACCCCCGCAGTCATTTTGCTATTAAACATATATCCTTTGGTCCTAGGGGCCTCTATATAATTGTAGAGACGTACAAGACTCGTTGTCTTGTTTCAAGCATTTTTTGTGCTTTGTGGTCTTTGGGTGAAGTCTTCGTCTTGGTCTTCTTTACCGAGTGGCATTAAAAAGTTCAAATTCCCTTTTAAGATTTTTCTAAAATTTTTTTTCTTTAAAAAGGATTACCTCACCGTTCATTATCTTTCCGTTATGGTGATATTCTTCATGTATTAAATGCAACAGATGATGATTGGTGGACAGCTAGAAGAGTAATGGATAATTTAAGTGGTGAAGAAGGCCCAGAGGGAATTATACCTTCAAGAAAAAGAGTAGAAAAACGTGAAAGGCAAAGAAGAAAACAAGTAAATTTTAATGCTGGTAGTCAAAGTTTGGGGCGTAACAGCACAACTTCGGGAGTATCAGCAGCAGGGTTGGGAGGAATGGAAGGTTTCTTTTAAATAATAATAATTTTTTAAAATTCTTTTAAAAAGGTCGTCGAGGTTCTCGAAGTCAACTATCCTTTTCAAGAAAATTTCCTTTTGTTAAATCAACAGAAAAACTTAATGAATACAATTCTGATGGGGCTGAAAGTGGGTTTTTATTTTTTTAAATTTCCCTGTCGTTTATATCCCTAAATGTCTTGCCGCATGATTTAGAAGGAGGGTTGTTGGTTCGGAACTATAGAACCAAGGGGACTTTTCGGTTCGGTTTCTAATATCCGAAGATTTTCCAAGAACCAACAACTATATCCGAGACCTTTTTTATTACTAATTTCCTTCCCTTTTTAACCGTAATTTTGCCTTTAACAATTCTTTTTTTTTACTTGAAATCCTTTTTTCTCCTCTTTTCTCTAATATTCTATATCTATCTTCCTAGGACTTTTCTTTCTAAGAAATTTTCTTAATCATATCAAATTTTCCTTTTTAATCCAAAAATTAGGAAGGTATCGCAGACTTAGGGAAAAAGCATCAGCAACAAATTATCCATCAACATCTACAGCAGACCCTTCCTATATTGTTAGTGATAGTGAAGCAAATCAGAATACTCGTTCTAGGAGGAATAAAAGGGATGAAAACGATGAAAAATCAAAAGAAGCTCAACAAAAAATTAAAAAGAGACATTCTCAACATTGGAATTGTAAGCAAAAAACATTCGTGTTTATTGCTGTTTCATCTATGTTTTTTGCTGTTTCTATTAGAAGAGTATGGATTAGGGTTTCACCAGAACCGAAATTTTGACCGGAACCGAATCCAATTTGAGTTCCGGATTCCGAAACCGGAACTTCCGGTGAAACCCTAGTATGGAAAAATATTTGCGGACTCTTTTTGTACTTTTGTTTGGACTTCTGTTGTTTTGGAGTTGTTTTTTTTCTAACTTTATTGTTGCTAGAATAATTTAATCTGTCCTAAAAACCTTAGTTCTTATTGTTTCTATTACAATCTACCTATATTTGAAATCGCGTTTCTTGCTTTCTTTTTTTCTTTAAGGACTGCAAAATTGTTGTTTTTTCAACTAACCCTGAATTTTATCCAATTAAAATTTAAAAAAATTTTTTTAAGATGCCTTAGTTGATGAACCAATTCATTCCTACAAAATTGTGCAAATTAAACAAAGTAAAATACTAAATTTGTTCCTCGAGTAAATTTAAATATTTTTTCAAGTTTCATATATTCGTCCAGTAATTATTCTTGGAGCTTTAAAGGATCGAATAAATGATGAATTGGTAACACAAAATCCTGAACGTTTTAGTAGTTGTGTTCCACGTAAATATTTTATTAAATTTTTTAAATAAAAATATTTTTTAGATACATCTAGACCTGTTAGAGATGGTGAAGTGAATGGGTAAATTTTAATCTTTAGAATTTGTTTTAAAAATTTTTAAGCTAAATAGTCCATAGTGGAATATGTATTAAGTGAGGATAATTATACTTTTCGGGAGGTCCGCAACTTTTCAGAAATTCCGGTGGTTTTTTAAATAGTCCGCAACTTGGCATATAATTTCCGCTACTTTCTTCGATAAAATCCGAAATCCGATAAATCCACGAATGGCCGCAACATAGAGTACGATAATTTTTTAGAAAGTCAGCAATTTTTTTAAAAGTCCGCAACTTTTAAGAAGCAATCCCCACAATTTATTTTCTACCTATTTAAATTATTACTATTCTATTAAAAAATTTTTTTTTAATTTTCTAGAAGAGATTATTATTTTGTAACAAAAGCAGAAATGGAACGAGATATTAAAAACAATTTATTTATTGAAGCTGGACAATTTCAAAATAATCTTTATGGGACAAGTATTGCTGCTGTGCGTGAAGTTGCTGATTCTGTAAAGAAAATTCCTCTTTTCTTCCATTCAAATTTTTTTCTAATTTAAAAGGGACGTCATTGTATTTTGGATGTTTCTGGTAATGCAATACGTCGATTACAAGACGCTGCCAGAATTTATCCAATTTCTATTTTTGTTAAGCCTTTTAGCTATCAACAATTGCGGTGAATTTGATTGATTTTTAATTAATTTAAAAAATAAGGGAAATAGGAGGGAATCATAAAAGGTTCGGAAAAAAACGAGTCACAAAATATGAAAGGTGAATTAAGCAGTCAAAAAAGTAATGGCCCTTTTGACTTGCTTAAAGGGGAAAAACACCAAAATCGGACAGAAATGACGCCAAACTCCGTGGCGCACAGCTCTAAACATTATTTAATCAATACCCCATGAGATCAATAGAGGATAGGGAGGAGCAGAACTGTTTCGAAATAGAAAATCTTCAAAAATCGAAAGGAAAATAAACCTCGAAATTTGAAATTTCGAAATAGCTCTGGGGAAGAGAGGGGAGTCGAAATTTCGATTTCCGACTTCTGTTGCCTTGGTGATTTCCTAACAAACCCCTTTGGGACGGGAGAATATTCTTTGATTTATTTTTAAAAATTTTTCAGAGATTGGTCAGACCAACAATTAACAGATGAGGACGCCCTTAAACAATATGAACGTTGTCAACGACAAGAACAAAACTTTGGGGATTTATTTACTTGTAATTTAAATTAAAAATTAATTTAAATATTAATTTTATAGCAATAATAACTGGTCAAACAGCAGATGAAATTTATGCGCGTGTTTTGCGTATAATTAATGAACAATCAAGCAATGATATTTGGGTGCCTACAAATGAACAGTTGCCATGAATAAAATTAAAAAATTTTAATTAAAATACAGCAATTTTTAATATATACCTAATTTAATTTTTGATATATATGAGAGTGTCTACTCGCTCTCTTTTTTTTCTAATAATGGCTGATTAAGTGGTTGAATTCCTTCAACATTTTAAAGAAATTTCAATTTTTTCTATTTTCCCACATTTTTAATATTCGGCCAATTCACTTAATTGTACAGTGAGGCCTCGGTTTAGGGAAGGAAACGAGGGAAAGGGAACGAGCTGACAAAAAACAAGATTCCAAATTTCGGGAAATATGGACGGCTCGTTCCCTAGCATATACCCTTTAACATCGTACCAACCTATAACCTAAGAAAAAGCTTAAAAATTTTTTTCTTGAATTGAGGGGGGTCGAAAAATCGAGGTCTTACTGTAACTATCAATAAACTAAAAAAGCACATTTCCAAAGTTAAACCTCTCTCCTATTTTTCTTTCTATTCTGGATTTTATTTAAAATTAAAAGTTGCATAAATTTGAAGCATTTATTTTAATAAATAAAAAAATATATATTATGCAAAAATTAAAAAATTTGCGTTCCAAACAAAAAATTTGCTTGGCGCACAGCCTCATTACCCGTAATTTTTTTTAAAAATATACAAAGCTTCTTTTAATTCTCCTCGTCAATATTATTATTTGTTTCTTGATATTGATGAATTGATAATTGCTTTTTTAATTTAATTTTTGTAGAGGGAAGTATTGGATGTCTTTTGTGTTTATTAATAGGTAAAGAACAACGTTTGATATATTGATGGTTTGATGATATTGAATTGTTGTTGTTAATGTTGTTTTTGGATTCGTTTCTAAATTTTGGGAAAATTATTTATTTTATAGGTCCGAAAAATTTTGTCAGCAAAAATTAAAATTTGTCCGCAAAATATTTGCGGACAAAAAAAATTTTTGCGGACGTCCGCAAATTTTTTTGCGGATAAAAATTTTTTTGGCAGACAAAACAGTCCTCCAAATTTTCTTATAAAAAATTATTGTTTAATATTATTTAAAAAATTATTGTTTAAAATACAATTGTTTAATATTATCATTTCCTCCTTCTCTCTCCTCCAATTCTTGTATCATTTTTGACCGAATAAACAAAAATCTTTCCCCACTATCAACACTCGCTATTTGCCCTCCACTAACAAGTTTCCCTCCACGTTGTTTTTCATTATCATTGTTATTATTATTTATTCCATTAGAACTGCTATTGTTGTTATTATTGTATTTTGAAGCTATTTGAGTATAATGAGAACCTCCACCTTTGTGCCTGTCTAAGGGGCGAGAATGCTTTAGACGGTGACGATTGTAACAATTTTTAAGGACGGTTTGCACTTCACGATTGGTAAAACAATAAATTATTGCTGAAAAAATTGTATTTTGAAATATTTTGAAAAAAAAATTTTTGGAAAATCCGAAAAAAATTTTTTGTCCGCAAATTTTTTCGGACGTCCGCAGAATTTTTGCGGACAAAAATTTTTTTGCGGATTTTTTTAGTAAATCCCTCACCAATCATAAATCCTTGATACATATAAGTAAAAGAAGCACAATAAGTCCAAATAGCAAAATAAGTAATATTGTCTTGTGTGGGCGAGAAAGGAATAGTTTGCATAATATTAGGAATACCCAACAAAGGAATTAACATTAAAGCTGCTTTGACAGATTTTCTTGAAAAAATGATAAAAAAATTATTTAAAAATTTTTTTAATTTTTTTACTTTGTTCTTTGCAGTTCACTACTAGAACGTGAATCGCGAACTTTAAGCCACAATACTCTAATAACATTGATAAGCATAAGTGTGTTGATCTTTAAATTTAAAAATTAAAGTATACATGATTGAAAAATAGGGTTGGACGAGACCGTTTAATAACCTCGATTATTGTTCCCTGTGGCTGGTCAAAAAGAGAAGAGAGAAGGGAAAAGTCAGCTACAGGGAAAATAAACCTCGATTTTTTTGAAGGGTGAAATTTTTAGAGTCAAAAAAAAAATCCGCAAAAAATTGCGGACGTCCGCAATTTTTTGCGGACAAAATAGGTAACAATAAAAAAGTTTAGCGGATTTTTATAGTTAACGTGGCTGTACTTTAGTACGTGGGCCCCGGAGTTAATATACAAATGTTATACCATTCGAAAGAGCTAGTCGAGCTGAGTCGAATGCCACCAGTTTTAGCCCGAGGAAAAATTTTTGGACCGAGATATAGGTCCCTGAAATTTGAAAAAGCATAGGGGGGACCAAGCACTTTTTTGGGGTAAAAAATTCGAAAATGGAAATGATACCTCATTCGAAAGAGCTCGTTGAGCTGAGTCGAATGACACCAAAATCAACGAAATCCGACTTGATTTGACAAAGTTATGATTTTTTATTTTAGCTCCTTACCTATGGTATCTGTGGAGATTTTTGCTGCTACGGAGGCCCCAAATACGTCCAAAACAAGGGAGATAGGAATAGGTTTATGTTACGAGCCCAGACCCATCGCCCGTAGACTCCCCGCGAGGCGCGTGCCGCAAAACCCCGCGCGAAGCGCGGGGTTTTGCACAAGCGCCTCGCCGACGCTCCATAGGTTTATGTTGCTTGTTTTTTGTGTCATAACCTTGTCTAATCTTGTCCAATCACGGTGATTTTGGTGTCATTCGACTCAGCTCGAGGAGCTCTTTCGAATGAGGTATCATTTGCATTTTCGAATTTTTCACACCAAAAAAGTGCTTGGTCCCCCCTATGGTTTTTCGATTTTCGGGGGCCTATATCTCGGTTCAAAAATTTTTCCTCGGGCTAAAACTGGTGTCATTCGACTCAGCTCGACGAGCTCTTTCGAATGGTATAACATTTGTATATTAAATCCGGGGCCCACGTACTAAAGTGACCCCGTTAACGTTTTGCGGACAAAAAATATTATCCGCAAAAATTGCCCTTAAATTATGAATTGAAAAATCAAAATAAGAGAGGAACGCAAATAATTGCGCACAGCCTTGGTTTAAGTTTACTTGAAAAAAAAATTTTTTTAGCTTTTGCGGACAATTTTTAAAAATTTTCTGCAAAAAATTTTGCGGACAAATCAACAAAAAAAATAAAATTTTATCTCCTTACAACAAGTTGTGCCAATCTAGGTCCATCCAATATCCAAAATTCAACCTCCAAATAATAACTACCCAAACACCTTTCCAATTTTCCATTCTTCTTTATAAAAAGTATAATTAACCAGCCAAGAGTGTGAATAAAAGGAACACCATAACCAGTTAATAAATATGGCCATAAATGGGGAGTTGTATTAAATACAGCTAATACTAATTGGTTGTGAAGAAATAGACCCTGAAAAATTAATTTTTAAAAAAATTTTCAAAAATCCGCAAAAAATTTGCGGACGTCCGCAACTTTTTTGCGGACGTCCGCAAAAAATTTGCGGACAAACAAAAAATTTGAAAATTAATTTTGGCACCTCCAAAAACATCCACCAAAAAGCAACAGATTTAAAATATTCCAACAGAAAAAACATCAATTCACAAACAAAAACCATTGTGTTAATAGTTCTCCCCTGGGGATTAACTAATTGTTGATGTCCAAGTCTATCAGTAAATATTAAATCAATGTAGAGAACTAAACGTAATAAAACCATTGCAAGTATTGCTATCATTAAATGGAGATGTAAAAGGTTTCGAAATACTCGAAGACGGCTAGAAATAAAGAAAAAATTAAAAAAACGTAATGTCCGCAAGTTTTTGCGGACAAATTTTTGTCCGCAAAAACTGAGTCAACTGAGCCCCTTCCGGCCCCTATAACTTATGAACGGATGATCATTTTTTAGTGTTCTTGGTATCTTTGGATAGAGAATTAAATGCACTACAAAATAACAAAAAATCAAAATTTTTGATTGACTGACAAAAAAGTTATGAACGATAAAGTTGCGGAAAACAACATTTTCTTATTGGAAAATTTTAGTTTTTAGACCATAACTCTTTTTTATCAAACAGTCATAAATTTATATTTTTTGTCAACTTGTAGCGCATTTAATTCTCTATCCAATGGTACCAAAAACATTAAAAAGTATTCACCCCTTCTTAAGTTATAGGGCTTGGACCCAGATGAACTGCTCTTTTTCTTCCTTACCGAAAACTAGTAAATATAGCAACACAAAAAAGCAAGGAAATTAGGGATAAACCCAATCCAACAAATTCCAATTTTCTAGCATTTTTAGCAACTTCTTGAGCTTCATAAAGAGTTCCATTATCTAATTGTTGCATTATCGCTACAACTTCTCTAGTAAAACACATTGTAAAATTAGTCCATCCATGGGGACGGGAAAAATCATTTTCTGTTTTTCCCATCCAATTACCCGAAGAATGGCAATATTTGGTTATTGTTTCTTTAAAAAATTTAAAATTTTTATATGAAAATTTTTTTTAATTTACTAGAAGGATCAAGCCCTTTTAGCGGTGGACATTGCAAAGTAACTGATTGCCCTCCTTGTGTAGCTGGCCAACAAAGTACCTTTAGAAAAATTTTTTAAATTTATTTGGATGAATGACACTAGTCAGATTCGACTTATAAATACTCCCTTAAGGGTTGAAAGTGTCTTATAATGAGGTTGTCTTATATTGAGGGTATTGTTTAGCCAACTTGAAAAATCCAAAAATTGCCAGCCAAAAATTAAATCGTAACTTAGAATGAAGTAGGGTGGGTGAGAGGTCTGACTGTATTTTTTTGGATCTCTCGCTATAATATCTAAACTATGATAGTATGATAGCTTTTTTAAACTCATCTTTCACCCTTCCCCGAATTTTCGCCCGTGTTGCACCTTAAGCTCGTCCTTCGCTTGTAAAAATCTGTTTCGGCGTACCCCTTGAAAGATACACTTGGGGTTGAAAATTTTATCTTATAATGGGGGTATAGAGGATAAAGACACCCTTGAGGATACATACACCCCATTATAAGAGACAATTATCAGCTCAAAGGGTATCTCTAAAAAAGAGACCCGACTGAGTTTATACAAAAATTATCCACTTACAGTATCCCAAGTAGCATTACACCAAGGCACGGAATCATCAGAAGACTGATTGGGAGCAATTGGAAGACCAGCAGATGTTAAAGCTTGAAAACATTGTTCCATATTATCAGCCAAATTAAAATTTAATTGGTTAAGCCAAACAAAAGATCCATTAGATAATTGAATTGGGGAAGAATTAATAATTGTTGTTGTTTTTGATGCTTCTTTTGGATTTTCATTGTAAAGTATAATTGTTGAAGATGAGGAAGACATTGTTGTAAGTGTGTAATTAAAGTGATCAAAACCTTTAAAAAAAGTTTTTTTTAATTTTTTTTCTGAAAGATAATATTTTTTTCTGAAATCCAAGGGGAGTCTCCAATAAATTTTACCTTAAACAAAGGGTAAATAAGCCCACAAAGGATTAAAAGGGTTCCAAATCCTATCATTCTTCCCCATCAAATTAAGCGGGAATGTACCATCTCGGTATGGTCTTTTATAAAAGTGAATGGCCTCTTGTTGGGAATGGGAAGGGGGAGGAGGAGATATCTCTAAACGATACTTCCACTTTAATGCATAGCAGGGATGTCTTATGGATTATCCGAAATCCGGTCCGAAGCGAATCTCGAAACTCAACTATTTTCTCAATCTTTGAAGGCCATGGTGATGCAACTAAGTTTAGTGGATGATATTTATTACAGTACTAAGGGTCAGGGATGATCTTTTGCCGAATTTTACCGAATTCTTTAAAATCTATTTCGGCACAACCCTGGTGCAACTGGTACAACCCACAACTCTATAAACGAGTTGCGACTTTACAAATCCTTCTTATAATAAGGGCTTATTGAACAAAAATATAAAATATTTAATGATAAGAAAAATTAATATCTTACTTATAAAATGAATTAAAAAAATATTTAAAGATTTAAAAAGGCTTCCTTTTTTCCATTAAAAAAATTTTTTTAAACAAGGATTAAATAAATACGCAAAGAATTTAAAGGACAATTATAAATACTAAAAAGTCTTCCCAACAATTTTAAAGTTAAAAAAAAAATAATTTTTTTAAACGCGCAATTTAACAAAAAAAAAAGAGGAAGCCAAAAAAAGTATTTTTGTTAGAAAAATATTTTTTTAAAAGAGAGAAAAGGGAAGTAAAAAAAACTAAAAAATAAATTGTCTGGGTCTAAGTTTAAATTTTTTAAAGTCATTTTTAAGTCCAAATTTGGAGTAAATTAAATTTTAAAAATTTCATTTCCAAAAATTCCGTCTTTATTTTTGGATTTTTAAAATTTACTTGAAAAGTTACAAACAAAAAAATTTTTTTTTGTGTGAAGAAAATTTTTTCTCAAAAAAAATTTTAAAGCCCCAAAGCTAAGTTTTGGAAACTCCGTTTATTTGCTACTAAATTTAAAATATTTAAAGGATGTAAGGTTGTAAAGGTTGTAAAAAAGGTCGAGTCAGTTTCACAAAAAAATTTTGGATTGGGTTTTGGATCGAAAAAAAATTTCGGAACTCAAGTTTCGGGTTTGAAGTAAATTTACTCGTCCTTGATATATATAGTAGATTTTCAGAAATCAAAAAAATAAAGAAAATTTTCTGGAGGGTCAAAGTCAAAATTTACACAAAAACAAAAAAATATACAAGCACTTTAAAGAATTAAAAGCTAAAATTGAAAAAGAGAGAAGATTTATTTAAAAAATGAAATTAAATTTAGTTAAAAAATAAAAACCCATAGCAACCAAAGTAGAAGAAGAGTTTAAAAATTATTAAATAAAATCCTAGTAAAAAAGCCAAAGGAAAAATTTTTTGAAATTTTTTAAAGATTTTTTTTCGAAATTTTTTTTTCGAAAAATTTTCAGAAAAAAATTTTTTTGAAGATATAAAAATAAGCGCTGCCGCCATGCCGTTTGGCGCGAGACGCGAAAACTTTGGCTCACAGCTCTGATAAGGATAATTTATGATATAAGGAAGATATAAGGGATTTTGAAGATATACATAAGGAGAAACTGGCATTAAAATGAGAGTACGTAAAAATTTTTTTCAGAAGAAAAAATTTGATAAATTTAAAAAAAAGTCTGGAAAAATTCTTTTTAGGAGAAAAAAAAATAATAATTTTTTTGCAAAAATAAAAAAATAAATTTTTATATTCCACAAATTTATGTGTATTCTTCTAAAAATCAACAAAAAAAATTATTATTTAAATTAAATTTAAACACACAAAATTTTCCTTATTTTTAGCAGAAAAAAAAATTTATTTTTATTTTTAAAAATATTTATTTTTAGCTTCATTTGTTTAACAAAAAGCATCTCCCCCTCTCCCTTCCTAGACCCTTCCCAAAAATACTTTAAATGAGCAAAGAACAAAAAAATTTTTTATTAAATTTTGAAAGATTTAAAAATGCCAAAAAAAATTTTTTTTGTGAATTTATTTAAGAAAGATTGGACACTGAGAGAATAAGAGATGAGATATTTCAAAAATTAAAGAAAAAAATAAAAGGTAAATGTAAGGGCTTGTATACAAGTGCACTGACATAAGGGATAAGCCAGGCTGACAAAAAAAAGCCGAGTTTCGGGTAACCCAAAATTTACGTCCATGTCCCCATTACCCAGTCTGGTTTTTAAATCAGGGCTGGCCGCAATTACGGATTTTAAAATTAAAATTGTGGATTGGCGAAAATTTTTCTTTCGTTAACTGTTAAGGTTTAAAAATATACAAAAACAAAAATTGATTTAATAAACAAAAAAAAAATTCTTGAAAAATTATGACATTTAACAATAAATATGCCATTCAAAACAGAAATAATATTCTCTCAGCATGAAAGTTTATTTTCTTAAAACTTTCACATTTAATAAAAAAAAAGTTTTTCTTAAAAGAAAAAAGAACAAAGACTAAAAATAGCAAAAAATAAAAATAAATTTTTGTTTCTTTTTTAAAAAACATAAAAGGAATTGACAAATAAAAATTGAAAAAGAAGAAAAAAAATTTTTTGTTTAAACGAAAATAGAAAAAAAATTAGTTTTTAAAGTTTAAAAACTGAACAAACAAGAAGAAAATCAAGAAAACAAAAAATATTGGTTGGTTTCCATAAAATAAAATAAAGTACACACACCTAGTCCTCACTAATATAGCGCGTCAACGATGTCATCCTCAATTACCTTCTGCTTTTTTTTATTAAATTTTTTAGTTAACTTTTGACTTTAAATTGTATGTTTTCTCATTTTTAAGTGGCCAAGAGGAAGAAACACTTTATGAGGAAAGTCCGCCTGTATATCCTTGGAATAGAACATCTTATTTTAAATTGGGGGTGTATATACCGTATTTACTTGATTAATTCCCCTTGCTACGGATGTGTTGAAACAATAATCCCCCTCCCCCAAATACCCCACGACAGGTTCAAATCTCTAAACTCGAATAATTCCCCTCTCTTGAATAATTCCCCAAGCCACGGATGGGTTGAAAAAATAATTCCGCAGGGGAATTAATTGAGTAAATACGGTATATTAAATTGAGAATATCACACCAAGGCATACTCCCCACCTAAATGGTTAACCAAAAAATAAAAAAAAAAGATTTCTTAAGATGTGTGATAGAAAAAAAATTTTTTTTTAATTTTCATACATCTAATAAATAATTATTTATAACAATAAAATTTTCAAATAAAAATTTCTCAAGAAGATGTAACCAATTAAAAAATTTATTTTTCTTTAATTAGCTAATTAAAAATACTAAATAAAAACATTTGTTTTTATATTTAAATTAACAAAAAAATTTTTTTTTTGAAGATTTTAAAAGAATTGATTTTCCTATTTTTAGTTTATTTGTTTGTTTATCTATTTTATTTAAATTGAGAAAAAATTTGGGAAAAAGGAAAAGCTTAAATTATGAAAAAAGAAAAAAAAGATAAAAATAGAAACCAAAAAAATAAAAAAAAATTTAAAGAAGAAGAATACATAATTGTTTAAATAAAAACTTTAAAAAAAAGGTAAGAAAAAATTTTAGAGAGTTTTTAGTTATTTGTTTGTCTAATTTAATTTTTATTTTGAAAAAAAAAATTTTTTTTTGATGAGTCATTTTATTAAATTAATTAAAAAATTTATTTTTTAATTAATAGTATACAGTTTAACTTTTAGCTTTTAGATAAATTTTAGGTTTAAATGGGAGCTTTCCCATCATCGAGATCTTGAAACCCAAAAATCAACGGGAAACCAGCGGGTCTTCAAAAAATATTTTCGACCTCTTGCCGGTAAAATAAAAATTTTATTTTAAGGGCTTATTTGAAAGCCTTATTGAAAGCTTATTTTTTAAAAAAAGAAAGATAAAAATAGAAACTAAAGAAAATTTAAAGAAGAATACATAATTGTTTAAATAAAAACTTTAAAAAAAAGGTAAAAAAGGGGGGCTTATTTGAAAGCCCTTGAAATTTGCTACAAGATAGCATTAATTTTATTTTCCGAAAAAAATAACTTTTAAACATAATGTGATAAACCTTCAGGGCCCGTAGAATAAATTCGGGGTAAGGGTTATTTAACCCCTAACCGAGGGTCAAATAACTCGCAACCCGCAGCATAAATTCCTACTCTGAGTTCAGGGTTAAACAACCCGCTAGACTAACCCAAAACCCCGAGTAGCTTTTCACATTGGTAGAATAAATTATTTACTCGGGTCAAATAACCCTCAGCTAAGGGTAAAATTGCTACACTGGTCGGGGGCAGTGTAACAGGGTAAAACGCGTCTCGATTGCTCTTTTCCAAAATATATTAAGTTTTCAAAATTTTGAAAAAAAATTTTATATTCAAAAAATGAAAAAAACATTTATGAAAATTTTTTTTGAAAATCCAGGTTTGGATCCGGGTCTAAAAAATCCGGATTTTGATCCGGAAAGTCCAGTCCGGATGAGAAAAAATTAAAATCCGGAAACCGGATCCGGCATTTTCAAACTTCTAACTCTAATGATGTTACTTAAAAGTTAAAGCTGTTTAATGGAAGTTCAATATAGAAATAAAATTAAAGAGTTACTCGCGAGTTACAGTAACCTTTAGTTTGGAGTAAAAATGCGAATTTATTCTACGAAATTTATTCTACCAATTTTACTCGGAACTCAGGGTTATTTAACCCAGGGTTATTTTACCCGGTTATTCAACCGGTTATGTTACCCCGAATTTATTCTACGGGCCCAGGCCATAAAAATTACTCCAAACGCCCCCCAAAAAAGTGATAAAATGTATAAACTATAAACTCATTATTTATCAAAGATAAATTTTTTCTGGATTATGAGACGAAACATATATCTTGTAGAAAATTTAGGTCCCCAAATTTTTATTTGGGCCATAAATTTTAATTTATTCCCAAAATAAAATCCACAATATTTTTTACTATTATGAAATCCGACTATATTTAAGAGATTAATTAAATTGCTACCATTTTTAGTGTAGTTGAAGAAAAAATAAATTAATTAAATATAGGGAAGGTATATTAAATTATGTTGTTGCCAAGTAAACTAATAAAGAAAAATAATAAATTTTTTTCTGAATTTATCAAAAACTGTTGTTAGAAAATTTATTTAAATAAATTTTTAAAAATAAAATATAAAAATTCCAATAAAAAAATTTTTTTTAGAAAAAATTTTTCTAAAATAAAAATAAAAATTATTTGAATAATAAATTGAAAGAATAAAAA